TCGATGCTGCGCTTCTGCTCGTCGAGCTGGGCCTGAAGGCGTCTGTTGAGCGAGTCGAGTCTGGGTGCGATAGCCGATTGAACCTGGCTTTCGATGGCGTTGGACTGTTTTGCCACCTCGCCCTGCATGGATGACAGCATCTTGAGCAGCGTGTTGTGATTGGACGTGATGGTCTTGGCAACCGACTCCGACACCTCGGTGGTGATGGTGTCCCGCATCGAGGCAAACTCCTCCCTGCATAGCTGCCGCAGAAAATCACCATCGTCATCGTCATCATCATGAGGAGAAGGTACAGGGGCACCAGCAGAGGACGGAGCGAGTGCCTGCCGCTTGCGCTGGGTGAAGCGGCCAGTGCCTTGGCCTTTGCCCGAGCGCTCGCCGTCGGGGAAGGTGGGCATCTCGTCAAGTTCAGCGAGCATCTGGCGCTCCTGGGTGCTCGTGCGCGCAGGAGGGGTAGCATCGGCCATGAGGCGCACTGGAAGGGGGGGTGTCCGCCAGCCTTTGACAGCTGGGTGGCCCTGGAAGAAGGGCTGCCACACTCAAAACGGGCCTATCCCGATCTTGAGCCAAAATGGCAACGGAGGAGGGGGAGAAGGAGGAGGAGGAGGAGGAGGAGGAGGAGGAGGAGGACGAGGACATGGGGTCGGCTTTGATTCCCAATAGCTGTCCATCCAAAGACGACCGCTGAACATGCCGGTTTTGACCCCTTCCTCTACCCCCTTCCCCTGGACCTGGACGGAGGGGGGGCGCGAGGCGTTGGGGCGTCCAAGGTGGCCTCGTCAAGAAGACCCAACTCATTGCCTTTACTCGGGGCGTTGGCCCCCAGGGTGCGTGCTGGCCAGCACGTCGACGACAACCCCCGCCGGGGCGACGAGAGCCCTCCAGGGAGGAGCAGCGGCACCGCAGGGAGAGGCACCTCCTGGGGGAGCCTTCGCTCGCGAGAGCGGCGGCAGCCCGTGAAGCCCAGTTCGGGATTGAAGGAGGAGGAGGAGGAGGAGGAGGAGGAGGAGGAGGAGGAGGAGGAGGAGGAGGAGTAGACCAAATTAAGCCTGCCATTAAACCTGATCAGGCCGGATTCAACCGAACTGAGCGGCGTCGGGCGGGATTTTGCCAGATGGAATAAGTTCGTCCAGCCACGGACATGCCTGGGACGCACAGAGACAGGCTAGCACGATATGTCCTCCTTGGAGGCGCGCGTCCGACCCGAACACATAGTATACTCATCTTCTGGTATATCGTTTCCCGAGCGGTGTGGCCAGAATGCGCCCGCCACGACGCGTATACCATGAGATTTCTCGGTGCGCGCGTCGCCCCTGGGGGGCGAAGCACACACAGTAGTAGTATGTTGGGGCGGCGCCGGATACCAGCACCGAGGCTGAATTCAACCTCACAGTAGCTGCACTCCAGGCACTGGCCTCCTTCCCTCGTCCGAGAGAGTCAAGGCGCACCCCGCCATCCCTCGGACGCCCGTTCCCCGTGCACGTCCTGGCCTTGCGCGTGCCTCGCCGTCCCTCGGACGCCCGCTCCCCGTGCACGCGTCGGCCTCGTGCGTGCACCCTCCCCTCCGCATAGCTGCCCCCCGCAAAAAAAAGCTCCCCGAGGCTCCCCGCCGAGGGAGGACGATTCTGCACACGTCCGAGGCGCGCTGCCCGAGCGCACCGCGGCGGCGCGCTGCGCGCGGCGCGCTCGGGCCTTCGCCGGCCGCAGCTCCGAGCAGGCGCCCGAGCCCGAGGACCGCCCCCTCCGCCAGGGCAGCGGCTTCGAGCCTCGGGCGCCCGCCAGCCGCGCGCGGCGGGCAGCGGGCCGCCCGCCGCCCCTGCCAGGCCAGAGCCTCGATCCTCCTCTCCTCATCCTTCCTCCTCTCCTCCTTCCTCCTCTCCTCCTTCCTCCTCTTCTCCTCCTCCTCCTCGTCCTCCTCCTCCTCACCTCCTCACCTCCTCCCTCCTCCTCCTCCTCCCCGCCTCCTCCTCCTCCCCTCCTCCTCCCCCTCCGCATCCTCCTCCTCCTCCTCCGCCTCCGTCCTCCTCCGCCTCCTCCTCCTCCGCCTCTTGCTCCTCCTGCTCTTCCTCCTCCTCCCCTCCTCCCTTCCTCCTCCTCCTCACTCCTCCTACCCCTCTCCTCCTCCTCCTCCTCCTCCTCCTCCTCCTCCTCCTCCTCCTCCTCCTCCTCCTCCTCCTCCGCTGGGCTTCTCGGCGCCGCGGCGGTTCCTGGCGCTGAGCGCAAGGCACAGTCGGCCCGGATCAGTAGGTCGACCCTGCCAAATCAAGGGTACCTTGGTGTCCTGTGTCTCGCGACCCGTGCCTCCTGCGTTACTGTGGCAGATGTGGCCCTCGGAAGGGTCTTTGGTCCTCTCGCGTGTCCTGTCCAATGAAGCCCGACTGCAATGGGGGGCGAGAAAGGGGGGGGGGCAGCGAGGGCTGCAGAGAAGGAGCCCCTGAGGGCCCCCAGAGGGGGCCTCTAGAGGGTGTCCGAAGTGGGCACCTGTCTCTCGCCCCCCCCCCCCCCTGGATCGCCCCCCTGTGGATTAGCGGCCAAGGGCGCCACGATTTGTTCAGACCGGGCGGGCGACCTGGCACTGTTTCAAAGATTGACACGATACCCTTTAGCAAAACGCCCTATGGTGAAAGCCGCCAGGGACTCTCACCGTGCGCGCGGCCCCACTTTCCGAGTGGACCCCAGCGGGGTAGTTAACCAACGCCCAAGAAAGCCCGAGTGAATCCAGCAACACGCACGTCGATTAGCGAAACGACTGGGACCTGCACCCGTACACTCGAATGCCAATGTCGAGTGAACCAGTGCAGATTCCCTCAGTCGACTTCTCCGGGCGGGCGTTCTCTCAATGTCCGATTGTTTCGGGTCCCGGGGCCCTCACGGACCGATCGGGCTCGCAAAATGCTGTAGAAAGACCAGGTCCAGGGTCCCAGTCGAGTTTTACCACGATGTTGCAATTTTCTCGTGACGTCGGCTCCGGGAAGTGCTTCGAAGGTTCTCGGATGATCCCAGGGACTCCTGGATGCTCCCGAAGATTCGGTCTAATGTCGCCGTCTTCGTCGTCGCCGCCGCCGCCGTCACCGCCGTCGCCGCCGTCGATGCATGAAGGGACTTGAGGGATCGAATGGTCGGATTGCAAAAAAAACCCTGGGTTTGCAATCCTGGGTTTTGTTGCAATCCTGGGTTTTTTTGCATCCTGGGTTTTTTGCAATCCTTGGGTTTTTTGCAATCCTTCGAATCGAGATTTCTGGGTGCAGACAGGCCTGTGTTGGGCCTCTCGCGGCGCCCTCCTAGCCACACCAAGGTCCGCCTCGAGGCTCATGTCGGCAAGCACCGTGGGAGAATTCAAGGGGTTCGTCGTCGTCGTCGCCGTCGTCGTCGATGATATCGTCAAAGCCGTCGTCGTCGCCGGAAAACAAGGAGGGCGTGGAGGCAGGACAGGAAGATGCGGAGGAGGGCGCGGAGGAATGGGGGTTGTGGTTGGGCGTCGTTGAATGTGGGCGCGATAAATGAAGGGGGGGGGCCCTAAAGGCCCTCTTTGGCACCCTAAAGGGCTGCTTTTCTGCAGCCCTCGCTGCCCCCCCATTTTATCGCCCCGACATTACGCGACGCCCAAGTGGCACCAGGAGGTGCGGTCGGCCTTTCGTAGAAAGCGCCAGGCGGCGCCGAGTCATAGCCTTTAAGCGTGCTCATGGCCTACGAGCTGACCCATTCCCCTCTCAACCTCGCTCCTCCACCATTTCACCTCCCTTCCCCCTTCACACTTTTGTTTACTCCTCCGGACTCCTTTCACATCCTCCTCCTCCTCCTCCTCCTCCTCCTCCTCCTCCTCCTTCTCCTCCTCCTCATCATGCACTTCCTCCTCCTCCACCTCCTCGTCCTCCTCCATTCCTTTTCCTTATACATAACTTCTCCCTGTCGCACCCCGAGGCCAATGTTTGGGGCGGGCCGGGCGTTTCGCTGGAGACTTCCTCACCATTTATGACCCTGAAGCTTAAAATATGGCAACAGCTTCACATATGGAGGGCGGGTGGTTTTCAACATGTGGCTTTCGCATTCGCGCCGCGCACATTAAAAAATACCAGATCTCTTCACGGATTGAGGGCGAGTTGTTTTCAAAGTGTGGCTCTCGCCTCCGTGCCGCGCACATTCGTTTGCAAAACTCTGTAAGAGTTTCACGGATTGACGGCGGGTCGTTTTTAAAATGTGGCTCTCGCCCTATCGCCGCGCATATTCGTTTGGAACGTTTGCAAAACCTGTACGGATCGATGGCGGGTCGGTTTCAGAACGTACCTCTCGCATTAGCGCCGCGCACATTCGCTTGAAAACCTTGCAAAAGCTTCACGGGTTGAGGGCGGGTCGTTTTCAACATGTGGCTCTCGCATTCGCGCCGCGCGCATTCGTCTAATAAATTGCACTAGTTTCACGGATTCCCATGATCAGGGTACCAGAAGTGGAGTTCCCTTGAGGTGCAACATCTATGTTGGTTCGCGATGTTGACGTCCGAGGAACGGCCTAATTCAGGATCGTCAAGACGCAACAGTCTGGTTGATCCGTGTTGGAGTCCCGAGGATAATGATTTGGCATGCTTCAGGGTCTTCAAACGGTTGCCTTCCAACGAGGCAGTTCCATCAGTGGAAATGAACCCTTGTAGGGGCTTATGACGAAGGAGCTTGGAGGAAGGGTTTCTACCAACATCGTTGATGACTCTTGGGTTTACACTGGTCTTCCTCCTCATCCAACTCCTCCTTCTCCTCCTCCTCCTCCTCCTCGTCCTCCTCCTCCTCCTCTTGCTCCTCCTGTTTCTCCTCCTCCTCCTCCTCCTCCTCCTCCTCCTCCTCTTCCTCCTGCTCCTCCCTCCCTCCCTCCCTCCATCTCTCCCTCCTCCATCCTCCATCCTTCATCATCCCTCCCTCCCTCGCTCTCCTCCTCCTCCTCCTCCTCCTCCTCCTCCTCCTCCTCCTCCTCCGCCTCTTTCTCCTCCTCTCCCCTCCTCTTCCTCCCTCCTCCTCCTCCTCCTTCTCCTCCCTTCTCCTCCTCCCCCTCCCCCTCTTTTCCTGGTCCGCTGTCCGTCGGGCCCCGCTCCTCTCCCCTTTGCAGACACGGGCCCCCGCGACGCAGCCAGCCCTGGAACCTCAGAGCCCCTCTCCCCAGCCCAGACATCTTTTTTTTGATTCGCCTGTCGAGAGCGCACCTCTTCCGGTCGAAGCTAAGCGGGCCGCGCGAAGCTTGAATTCACAGAGATGCGGGAGGGCCCCAACCCAGACATCCGACGCCGCGACTCTGTCGCGACGCAGTCCCCCCGCCCCCCGCCGCAGGACACCGCGGCCGCCCATGTGGCCGCCAACGCAGAAACCACTCCGGGTGATCCTGGACAAGCGTTGCACTCCAGGTGGGGGAAACGTCAGACTCGGTTACAGGGGATCTCGGGTTGGCCCGGCGGGGACATCATAAAAATGCCGAGACCCAATCTTCCGAATTTTGACGCGAGCTCCCGCTGCAAGCATCTCACGAACACTGGACCGTCAAATCCAGGAGGCGCTCGTCAAAAAACGTCAGCAAACCCCAGTTCCCGCTCACTCGAGTCTTACGTTTCCCCGACAGGTGGCTTGGTAGGGTTCTCCCCCAAACCCCGCTCCGCCCGACAGACCGTTCTGGCCCCACGCGCGCGAAGGGCAGGCAGCCCTGTCCCGCCTGCACGTCAGAGCCGACAGACAGAAATCTCGACACCTTCCTGTGGGCCCGCTTGTCATGCCGAAGGCGAGCCCCCCCCAAGGGCCCAGACTCGTCAAACAGAAGCTGGGCATCGCGACCTCGTCGTTTGCGTGACGCCAGATGCCCAGCAACCCGCCCACGAGCTCCCGAGGAGGCACCAGAAGCTCCCCCAAAAAACCTTGGAGTGGGAACGTAAGGGGGGCCGGCTCAGGGGGGGGGGAGGAACTGAAGGAGCCCTGGGACACACACAAATAAATAGACACAAATAGCAGGATTCCCCATATTTTCCAATTGATTCTTGGTTTTTGTCTCCCCCCCCACTTCCCATTTTTTCCTATATTTTCCGGGGAATCGAAGACGAATTGTGTCTGTGGGTTTTTTCCCTCCTGAGGAGAGCTGGAATCGGCGATGCATCGCCGGTAGATCGCCGACGGGCCCCCCGGCAGGAGCGTGGGACGCTCTTCACGGGCGGGCTGTCCGCCCCGGGCGTTGCCCCGGACCTGGGGGCCCCCAGGACGGTGCGGTCAAAGGCCGCGCGGGGGCCCGGAGGCCCCAGTCGCCCGAGATGTCCCCTGGAGGCCCCCCCGGGTGGGGTCCGAGTGGATAGGGGTCGGAGGATCGCGCCGCATCGCCGATGCGTCGGCGATGCATCGTCGATGCATGCAGCGGCGATGCATCGTCGACGTCGGCGATGCATCGGCGACGTCGACGTGAAGCAGATCGGGCTCCGCATCGAGCCGCATCGTCGATGCATCGGCGATGCGGCGCGATCCTCCGACCTCATCCTCTCCGTCTATAGTTGAAGTTGGAGATAAATATAGTTGATTTCTTGGATCTGTACTCAACCCCCTCCCTGGCGCGCGGAGCGCGCCAAGGGCGGCGTCAGGGGGGGTCCAGCGCAGATCCGAGACATACGCGCAGAGCGCCAAAACTTTCTGTTCGACCCGAGCCCCACACCTCGGGAAATGAAAAGGTCCCAATGCCGCTGCTCCTCGGACCTCTCCCGGGGCGCGCTCTGACCAGAATCTCGAGGCAGATCCAGCGGTGGCGACGAGGGCCCCCCAGGAGGGCGACAAAAGGAAGAAAAACACGGGCGCAGGGCAGCGGTATAGGGTGGCTCTCCCTCCTCTGGAGAACGACCCGAGCCCCGCACCCGCGCGGCCACCCCGAGCCCCCCCCCACGGCGCGGCCACCGCGCCGCCAGTATAGTGAAGGGGAACTGGAACACACAAATAAATAGACACAAATAAAAGAATCCCCTATATTTTCGCATATTTTATGGGTTTTTGTCTTCCCCCCCACTTCCCATATTTTCCCATATTTTCCTGGAAATCGACAAATAATTGTGTCTGTGTGTTTTCCCCCCTCCTGATATAGGGCCCCCGACGCGGACCCCCCCCGCGCCGCCGGCGCGCCGCCGGCCGGGGGATGCGACGGCCGAGGGCCGGCGCCGCAGCGGGCCGCCAGGGGCTCCTGGAGCCCCGCCAGCGCCGCGGCGGACCTCTGGCGGGCGCGGCGGCCGGGTGCGGGGGTGCAGGCTCCTCCACCTCCTCCTCCTCCTCATCATCATTTTCCTCGTCCCTTTCCTCCTCCTCCTCCTCCTCCTCCTCCTCCTCCTCCTCCTCATTCTCCTCATTTTCCTATTCCCTTCCCTCCTCCTCCTCCTTCCTCCTCCTCCTCCTCCTCTTCTCCTCCGCCTCCTCCTCCACCTCCTCCTCCGTCTCGACCTCCGCCTCATCCCTCCTCCTCCTGCTCATCCGCATCGTTCTCCTCCTCCTCCTCCTGCTCCTCCTTCCTCCTCCGCCTCCTGCTCCTGCTCCTGCTCCTGCTCCTGCTCCTGCTCTGCTCCTGCTCCTGCTCCTCCTCCTCCTCCTCCTAATCCTCTCTCCTCCTCATCCTCATCCTCATCCTCATCCTCATCCTCATCCTCATCCTCATCCTCATCCTCATCATCATCATCATCATCATCATCATCATCATCATCATCATCATCATCATCATCATCATCATCATCAGAAGTCTTGGGGCACGTTCGTCGGCGATCGTGGAGGGCCCTGTGGTGCGCAACGAGCTTGAGAGCTGGAGCAGGTGCCTTGGCCATCGGCGGATGCAGAGCTCTGCGGGGCACCTGCTGGCTGGCCGATTTTTCTGACTCGATGCGCCTTCTGTACGGCATCGAGGTTCGAGTATCGAAGAGGAACCTTTCCCATTTCCTCAAACCACTCCCCGCCCCACTCGTGCATATATTAAAACCTCCTACTAGGTCGAGTATCGAAGAGGAACCTCACTGGTCCCCCCCCCAGGTCCTGGCCTGAACGCGCTCCCAGGAGGGGACCAATCGCTTTGCCCTCTTTGTGGCACACTCATCATCTTCCTGCTCTTCCTCCTCCTTCTCCTCCAGAGGTCAATGTGGTGGAGCATGCCGCGTGTGAAATCTGTGCTCCGACACGGCCGCATGCTACTGCGATTGCTGAATGCTCACGACTGCTGATGTTGATTGAGATGCTGCTGCTCGCATCGCTAATGCGATGGGCATGAAACACGAGCCATGTTACACCGGTGTCTCCTGAAGGTCAAAGGAAAAGCAGGAGGAGGCAAGGTGGGCATCCAGAGTGCCATGGACGTGGCAGGGCTTTGGACAGGTGGACAGGCCCCCAAGGGTAGTCCGGGAGGGTCCGAGGGGGAGGAACTAGACCCGACCCGTTCCTGGTGGGATGATTTTTTGCTATGGATGTGTTGCAAGGCCCCAAGCCCGAAGAACGGCCCCTGGAAGTGGAAGCTCGCACAAACGGAAACGTGTTCTGATCTACAGGACGCTGGAGAGGCCGAAAGCATGGCGGCCAAACAATGGAACGACCGCCCCCGGCCAGACCCGTTCGGGTCGGAGTAGATGGGGTCGGAGGATCGCGCCGTATCGCCGATACATCGGCGATACATCGCCGATGTATCGGCGATGCATCGGCGACATCGGCGACGCCAGCGTGGAAAATATCGGTCTCAACACCGAGCCGCATCGTCGATGCATCGACGATACGGTGCGATCCTCCGACCCCGTCTGCTCCGACCCCATCTAAGAGGCCTCGAGCTTTGTGGGTGCAGTCCAGACACAACTTCGAGGCGGAATCCACCCTGGCACGACGGCGCCCAGGCACGGCCACGCGGGCGTCCCGCGGCTCGAGTCCGGTGGCGCACGTGGCGCACGCACGACGGGCGCACCATGGGGCGCACCACTGCGCGCCTGGCACGCCTGGGGCCTCGGAGGTGGCGGGGGGTCTGCGCCCCAGAGATCCGACCCTCCGAACAACATTGGAGCGGCGGACGGCGGTTGGCGAGCGGGCAAAGGTGCAGTCGGGTGGATACTGTAGAAGGTTTCGCGGACCATCCAAGACACAACCACCACGTTGGTTGAGGTAGCTTGCAAAGCACAATTTTTCGGGCGAGCAGCTTCCGCTTGCCAAACTGAGGCGATCGCCCTGGAGACAGTTCTCGCACAGTGTATGCGCATGTTCTTTCCTCTTCGAACTGACAGTGAGCCACTCGCTTCAGACGCACTGTACGTGCAGCCGGGGATGATGAGGGGTCGCTGTGGCGAAACTGCTCCAAGAGAAAGAGCTGCGGTGTTTTTACCGCTTTCGGCCTGCGAGGGCCCTCGCCGGGCCTCGGAACTTTTCATAGTAAAACGACTCAGGGCGAGAAACTAGCCCTATAGGGAAGTGGCCCAAGCCTCCGGGGCCCACGCATCGAAAAGAGTGCGGCGGCCGGGTGTCTTGGTGGGGGTCTGCTCTGGATGGACACCCACAGTGCCAGTCAGAAAGGGAAAGGTGGCGAGTCCTGCATGCCATGCCCATCTGGAGGAGCTGGGGCAGAGGGGAGAGAGAGAGAGAGAGAGAGAGATAGCGAAGTTCGTGCACGGGAGCGCATCTCCCCCTCTCTTCGGGGGCGCGCAAACATGGATTAGCGATCCATGGATTTGGCGCGCCCCAAAAATGCGGCCAGTGTCGCCTCGTTCGGCGGCGGGGATCCGCGATTTCCTGTGGAAACGGGGCCCGTCGCTCATCCATGCCCCCCTGATCCATGTTGGCGAACGCCTGATCTCTCACGGCGGGAACCAATCGTGCCGCATCTCGGCCCCCCAGTCGGCTCCAGCCTGGGCCCCTGGTGTGCCTGTCGCACCCGGTGCGCGCAGCGCACGTGGCGCACGCACGTGGAGCGCCTCGCGAGCGCCACACACGTGGCGCGACCGATGGCTGCCCCATCCGATGGCGACCTTTGCCTACATAGGCTGAGCCTCTGGTGCATCATAGATGGTGGGAGGGCGGGAGGGAGGAGGAGGAGGAGGAGGAGGAGGAGGAGGAGGAGGAGGAGGAGGAGGAGGAGGAGGAGGAGGAGGAGGAGGAGGGGGAGGAGGGGCCGAGGAGGAGGAGGCGGAGGAGGAGGAGGAACGGCTTCAGGATAACCCCAAATCAGCCGTGAGCAGCGGCAGGAGGAGGAGTGAGCGAGACAGCTGGTGGCAGTCCCGTTCAGATCATGACCCCATACCCCCTCCCCTGGGTCTGGAGGAGGGTCTCGCGACGCGCTGGGGCGCCGAGATGGCTCCAAGATGGCCCCAGATAGCCTCAAAGATCGCGCAAGAGAGCCCCGGATGGCGTTCACACCATCTCTCAAATGTACATCAAGACCGCCTGAAGACGGATCCAAGTGGCATCCATGCCCGAAAATTCCCGAAGCCGACGACCACGACGACCCAACGACGGACCACGACCACGATGACGACGCCCACCACCACGGCGACGACCACACGGCGACGACGACAACGCCGACGACGACGATGACCGACCGACGACGGAAGACGGACGACGGAAGACGATGGCGCGCCTGAAAAAGCCTCCCCGAACGCCCCAAGACTCCGACCTCGCCGACCACGGCACGACCGACCGACCGACAGACCGACGAGGGCCTCTTCGAAGGCCCCCGCGGGAGCCCCGCGGGCCCTCCGAGAAGCCCCGAGGAGCCCCCTGACCCGACCCCGAGGGGCCTCTCGAGGAGCGCCGCCGAGCCCCCCCCCCCCCCTGGGGGGGGGGGCTCTCGGCGCGCCTGCTCTGCACGACGTGCCGCGGAAGGGCGAGGCCCAGAGCTCCCCGGTCGAGCAGTGCTGCCGTGGAGCGGCGGCGAGCCCAAATGGGCGGCGTGCACACGGGGGCGGGGGGAGGGGGGAGGGCTTCTTAGAAGCAGGCTGCTTCGTAGAAGGCGCCGGCCTTACATCTATAGATGAGGCCCGCGCCTTCTACGAAGCAGGGGTGCTCCTCAGAAGCCCTGCCCCCTCCCCCCACCCCCCTCTGCGCGTGGCTGACCAAAGGGGGAATGCACCCAGCCCCCTTCGGGCTGCGTAAACAAAAACACGACGGGAAGTCCGTCGCTGTTCTCGGCCTCCGGAGGCCCCTACCGGGCCTCCCGACCGTCAAAAAGGGTCTCAGGATGGGAAAAGCCGGTCCCCGGGAACCGGGGAAAGGGTCCAGACCTCTGGGGGTGGGCGTCACGAACAGAATCACGTCGCCGGGGGTCTGGGGAGGAGGGCGTGCGCGGGGAGGGCGGGCCTTCTCAGAAGGCGCTCGGAAGGCCTCCGGCCGTCCGGGCATCTCACGGGGGGAACGAAATTAAGGAGGGGATAGCAAAGGGTAGGATATAGAGAATCAGCTCACGTAGCTGATTTTCCCAGCGCCTCCCGGCGCCGGGCGGCGCCCATGTATACATCGAGGAATGGGCCCGGCGGCGGGGCCGAAACCAGCTGCACGCAGCAGATTTCGTACCCCCCCCCCTTCCCCTATCCCCCCCTTCCGTTCCGCCCGATTTCTCTAGAGGGCACAGAGGAGGCTTCTCAGAAGGCCAGACGGCTTCTGCGAAGCCCCGCCACCCCTGGGCAAGGCGTGCCCACTCTCACTTTCCCCCCCCCCCCAGGGGCGCCGCCGAGGGGCGTCGGGGCCTCGGGGCCTTTCGGAGCCCAGACACACCTGGCCGCTCGAACTTTACTCGATGCGTGGGCCCCGCGCGAAGGTCTGGACCACCTCCCCATATAGAGGCCTTTCGGCGGTGGACAAACCTCCCTTTAGTAGACCTCCCCTTAGTGAAAACGGCCTGGGACCGAAACCGACGGACCTGGACCCGCAAAAATGACGGCCGCGACGCCCTCTCGCGAACCGAAAACAGCCAATTCACTAATCGACGTGTTAGGAGGTCTGTCCACCCCCGATCCTAGATGGGGTCGGAGCAGATGGGGTCGGAGGATCGCGCCGCATCGCCGATACGTCGGCGATGTATTGGCGATGCACCGACGATGCATCGTCGGCGTCGGCAATTCATCGGCGACGTCGGCGTGAAGCAGGTCGGGCCCCACATCGAGCCGCATCGCCGATGCATCGGCGATGCGGAACGATCCTCCGACCCCACCCACTCGGACCCCATCTAGGAGGCCTAAACTATAGGGCGGTTTTCCGTCCTGAGTCGTTGTTGTAGACCCAGACCTCCGAAGATCTGATGTTTGTTGATCCGGCGGCTTTGCATCGGCTTCGGCCTCTGTTTTTTTTTTCGTGCACGGGGAGTATCAAAAATGGATCCATCATGAAAAAACACCCCCGGGGAGTTCCGAAGCGAATCCACTGGTGTCCCACGAAGGCGGCAACGCGGCACGGGTCCCCGAGACCCCCGACGTCATGATTTGTTCATGACGTCGACCCCCAAAGGCCTCGACCCCTTCCCCGACACCGGCTCGTCACTCCGAGTCGTTTTCCCACAGGCCATCTAGGTCCAGCAGGGACCCCGGAGAGCCTGAGACTGGCGGAACGCCTCCTCTCGAGATTCTTGCATGACCCGAGGGGATCTGGGACCGGAGGGCAGCCGATGGCCTCCGACGACGCTCCCAGGGATCCGACGTCGTGGTTCTTTCGATACAGGGTCCCCTTGAAGTCTCGACCCCTTCCCCGGGACCGGTTTTTCACCCTGCATCGTTTTTTGACGGTCCCGAGGCCCGGCAAGGGGCCCCCAGAGGCTGAACATCGCGTAAAAAACGTCCCCTCGAAATTCTTCATGACCCGAGGGATCTGGGATCCCAGACATCCGCCGGTGTGACTTTTTCAATCCGCGGCCCCAGGAGGTCCCGACCCCTTCCCCGGGAATGCTTTCTCGCCCCGGATCCACTTCTGAGAGCCCCTGGCCACGATGACGGGCCCGAGAGGCCGAAATCGAAAACATCAACGCATCGGACCTCTGCATGTTGAGCATGGACCGACCGTCCCGGCATTCCGATAGTCCTACCACGAATTGTTCTTAGAACCCCACAATGTTTCTAGAGCAAAACAATGTTCTTAGAACATAAAAGGCCCGATGTGTTAAAACAAGACAGACTCCGCCAGAAATGTTCTAAGAACATTTCGTGGAAACCACAAAAGGTTCTAAGAACACTGCTTGGTAGGGCTATATAGGCACGCCAGGACGCTTCGTCACTGCTTGACGCTGGGATCGGAGGGCAGCCGATGGCCTCCGACGATCGCTCTCGAGGCCGCCCCCCAAGGCCAGGGGGGGGCGCCCTCCTCCTCCTCCTCCTCCTCCTCCTCCTCCTCCTCCTCCCCGACCTCCTCCGTCCTCCGTTCTCGTTTACGTATGTATGTTTCCTCCTCCTCATCGTCATCCTCCTCCTCCTGTTCCTCCTCCTCATCCTCCTCCTCCTCCTCCACCTCCTCCTCCTCATCATCCTCCTCCTGTTCCTCCTCCTCCTTTTCCTCGGGGGGGCGGCGGACGGGGACGGCAGCGGCTCCAGCTTCCGCTCCTCGGGCGGCCCGCTCGGCCCCCGGCGCGCCCCGGGCAGCGGCTCCAGCCTCCAGTCCCCGGCCTGGGGGCCCGGCCTGGCACGGGGCGCGGGCTCTCCTCCTCCCTCCTCCTCCTCCTCCTCCTCCTCCTCCTCCTCCTCCTCTCCTCTCCTCGCCTCCTCCTCTCTCCTCCTCCTCCTCCTCCTCCTCCCTCCTCCCTCCTCCTCCTCCTCCTCCTCCTCCTCCTCCTCCTCCTCCTCCTCCTCCTCCCTCCCCCCCCCCCCCTCTCCTCCTCCCTTCTCCTCCTCCTCCTCCTCCCTCCTCCTCCTCCCCTCCTCCCCCTCCCTCCTCCTCCTCCTCCTCCTCCTCCTCCCCCTCCTCCTCGCTCCCTCCTCCTCCTCCTCCTCCCTCCTCCTCCTCCTCCTCCTCCTCCTCCTCCTCCTCCCTCCTCCTCCTCCTCCTCCTCCTCCTCCTCCTCCCTCCTCCTCCTCCTCCTTCTCCTCCTCCTCCTCCTCCTCCTCCTCCTCCTCTTCCTCCCCATCCTCCTCCTCCTCCTCCTCCTCCTCCACCTCCTCCCTCTCCCACCCTCCTCCTCCTCCTTCTCCCCCCTCCTCCTCCTCTCCCCCTCCTCCTCCTCCTCCTCCTCCTCCTCCTCCTCCTCCATCCTCCTCCTCCTCCTCTCCCTCCTCCTCCTCCTCCTCCTCCTCCTCCTCCTCCTCCTTTCCTCCTCCTTTCCTCCTCCTCCGTCGCCACTTTGGCTCAAGATGGAGCTTACCTCCCGTCGTCCAGACTCCATAGGCTCGAGGCGAGGGGGAAGGGCAGCCCCTTCCACAGGCCTGGCTCCCTCGGCCAGCGTTTCGGGGCATCCTTCTAGCTTTCGGGCGGCCCGCAGCCGCCATGCTCCTCGCCCTCTCTTGCGCAGCCTCGGCGCAGCGGGCAGGCCGTGGCCCCAGCCAGGGGACACCGCCAGTACCTCTGCTGCTCTCGCCAGGGCTGCCGGGGCTGGACGCACCAGGACAGGAACAGCTTACGTATTGTGGTCGACGTGTGGCTCCACGTTCCAGTACCCAGGGAAGTCAACAGGCGGCCACCAGAAGTCTCAACCTCCATCGGGCGGAACCGGCGGAGGAGGGCAGCGGAACCAAGGCGGGAGTTGTAGTAGGAATCGCCGGACCAGGCTCCGTCGCTCCAACGGCCCGTAGGAGGGCCAAGGCAGAGCTCCCCAGACGCACGCAGACTCCCCAGCTCAGAACGACCCCAGATCTGTCTTCCAGGACCTGGTCGTTCTCTGGAAAGTTCGCGAAAACTACGCCAAAGCTGCAATCTCTCTCAGGCAAGCCAGGACTGCCGCCCTCTCAGAGAAGCCTCTGGAGCAGCAGTGCCAGTCTCTCCGTGATCAGGCATCCTCCGCCCAAGGCAGGATCCAGACGTACTCCGATCAGATCAACGAGTGCGTCGACCAGGTTTCTGAGCTGGCTGGCAAGGCCAGCGCCCACGAGACGGACAAGAACGCAGCAATCACGGAGCTCACGCAGTTGGAGGCTCAGCTCACGGCCGCCGTCCGTGCAGCAGCTGATCACTCAGCACCCCTCCGAGGGCCATCCCTACCTACTCCTCGAAGGTTACCAGGCTCATGGACCAGCTCGAGCAGGGACCCGTCCCAGGACGCGTCAAGGCCTTGGAGGCGGAGCTCGCATCCGCCTGCGTACGACCAGGCAGGCCGCGCGGCTGCCCCACAGGGGGCAGCGCCACGGGCGCTTGCCCAGCCGCGCGCCTCAGTTGCAGCTGCCGCCCGTGCTGCCGAACCCCCTCGGTCTCAGCAGCCACAGCAGCAGCAGCAGCAGCAGCCACATCAGCAGCACCCCCGAGCCAGCTTCAGGGGCCTCAGCGGGACCCAATGATGACCCCATTGACGAAACTGCCAGCAACAAGGGCGGGCAGTGTGACTCAGCAGCAGCCCTGGAGAAAGCTAGCGCAGCCATCGCAGCCATCAGCGGATCGAGTGAAGCAAGTGAGCTCGCCTCGAACAAACTAAGGAGCCTTGCTATCGAAGCCACCAATGGGGAGGGCAAAAGGTCGTCAGGGCAACGCAGCCCCGCAATCCACTCAGATCGTCACAGTCAATGGCAACTGGTTTCTTCGACATTACACGAGAATGTGTCCGCAACATGTTGTAAAGAGACTCGTCTCTCAGGGGATCGCATCATAGACGCCGAACAGTGGTGCCAGAAAGCAGGCTGGAAGGCTGTTACTTCAACATGTTTCACCAATGACGCCAATAGACCGATGGCCAGGACAGCCATCTTGATTCGAGCTAGGCTCGATTTCGGAGTCTGCCCAGCAGCTCTCCCTCCTCACATCCACCATGTCAGCAGTCAGCAGTCATTCTGGAGCTCCCAGGTCACTCGCCCTTCGTCCTCACCTCCCTCCACTTGAAGACTCAGCAGGCCTCAGCCAACAGAACCTCGAGCTGCTGGCGGCCATCGGGTGGATGCAGAGCCACCACAGTATGCCAGCGCTGGCAGCAGGCGACTTCAACATGCCCCCCATTCGACGGTCAAGCAGACCTGGTGGAGCGAGTAGAAACCTCTCTTGTTTGTTCGACAGGCCTCACGTCTTTCACCAGAAAGAGCAGGTCCAAGTGGGATTATGTCATCGCCAACAGCATCCTAGGGAGCCCCCTCAACGCCGTCAAAGTTCTGACGAACTACCTGATATCGCCTCACCGCCCTCTCGCCGTCCAGTTCCAGATCGGGCAGAACCACCTCCTCCCTGGGCTCGCCAAGCCCCAGCAGCTCCCACACCAGGCGCCCAGTTGGCCCCATCTCGAGCCCCTCAAGTGGATCCGATCAGCCTCAGCAGTTCAGCAGCTTCAGCAGATTATCCAGGAACCAGGTCCCTCACAGCAGCAGAGACTCCAGGCCCTGAATGCAGCGTTCGACCGTTTGATCCTGGACCTGGAAAGCTCAGTCGCCCAGCAGACAGATACTCCGCTCAGATGCAGAGGAGAAAGATGCCAGCCCCCAAAAAATTACCCTGGCGACGTACCCAACCCCTGCGCAAAAGCGGGGCGCAAATAGTTTAGGATACGTTATAAGGGGGCGATGACGGAGCGAGGGTTGCATATGTCTGCAGCCGGAATTCGGGAGACTCGCAGGACACTGGCTACAGGAAAAGGGCTTGATAAAACTGATGAGTTACAATTCCTGGGCACTCCTAGCCACTTCGAAAATGGTGATCACAGCAGGCCTCGAAAGTGGCGACAGTTTCACAGATCGCAGCCCCGCAGGGATGGCGAGGTCTAATTTGGGTCCGCGCGTGGCGTCACTGTGCTGGGCCCCCCAGCAGGCCTCGAAAGTGGCGACAGTTTCACAGATCGCAGCCTCCAGGGGATGGCGAGGTCTAATTTGAATCTGCCCGTGGCGTCACTGCGCTGGGCCCCCCAGCAGGCCTCGAAAGTGGCGACAGTTTCACAGATCGCAGCCCCCAAGGGATGGAGAGGTCTCGTTTGAATATGCCCGTGGCGTAACTGTGCAGGGCCCCCCAGCAGGCCTCGAAAGTGGCGACAGTTTCACAGATCGCACCCCCCCAGAGATGGCGAGGTCTAATTTGAATCCGCGCGTGGCCCTCACTGTGCTGGGCCCCCCAGCAGGCCTCGAAAATGGCGACAGTTTCACAGATCGCAGCCCCCCAGGGATGGCGAGGTCTAATTTGAATCCGCCCGTGGCGTCACTGTGCTGGGCCCCCCAGCAGGCCTCGAAAGTGGCGACAGTTTCACAGATCGCACCCCCCCAGGGATGGCGAGGTCTCATTTGAATCTGCCCGTGGCCCTCACTGTGCTGGGCCCTCCAGCAGGCCTCGAAAATGGCGACAGTTTCACAGATCGCTCCCCCCCAGGGATGGCGAGGTCTAATTTGAATCTGCCCGTGGCGTCACTGTGCTGGGCCCCCCAGCAGGCCTCGAAAATGGCGACAGTTTCACAGATCGCAGCCCCCCCAGGGATGGCGAGGTCTCATTTGAATCTGCCCGTGGCCCTCACTGTGCTGGGCCCCCCAGCAGGCCTCGAAAATGGCGACAGTTTCACAGATCGCAGCCCCCCAGGGATGGCGAGGTCTAATTTGAATCCGCCGCGTGGCCCTCACTGTGCTGGGCCCCCCAGCAGGCCTCGAAAATGGCGACAGTTTCACAGATCGCAGCCCCCCAGGGATGGCGAGGTCTAATTTGAATCGCCGTGGCCCTCACTGTGCTGGGCCCCCCAGCAGGCCTCGAAAATGGCGACAGTTTCGCAGATCGCAGCCCCCCAGGGATGGCGAGGTCTAATTTGAATCTGCCCGTGGCCCTCACTGTGCTGGGCCCCCCAGCAGGCCTCGAAAATGGCGACAGTTTCACAGATCGCAGCCCCCCAGGGATGGCGAGGTCTAATTTGAATCTGCCCGTGGCCCTCACTGTGCTGGGCCCCCCAGCAGGCCTCGAAAATGGCGACAGTTTCACAGATCGCAGCCCCCCGCAGGCAAGACAGGAAGAGGCAGGGAGGGAGGGAGGCGGGAGGAGGAGGGACGCGACCACACTGCTCTATTCAAAACGAATACCCAACCAAGGAGGGTTGGGAATTATTTGGGTATCCGCTCGAGCTGAAGAATCCAAGCATCGACTTGGCTGGCAGTCCTACGTTGGGCTGCGCAGATGACTGGACAACAGGGTCCTCGACGTCCAGCGTGCTGTTCACATTCGGTTGCCAGTCGGCCTGCGAGGTTTACAGGCAGCTCTGCAGGACGCGCCCCAAGAGCTCCAGTCAGTGCAGGAGCTGCAGGCAGCCCCCAACAAATTCCGCCAGCTCCTAGATACCCTCCTACCAGACGTGCAGCAGAAGGCATGCAGGCCACCAAGCAGCGCGAGCAATGTATCCTTGATGAGTTGCAGCAGGAGGTGTTCAGCTTCCCAGTCCAGGAGAGCCCTCGGGAAAGACTCCAATCCACGGCAGCCTGGAAGCAATGGGTCACCGAGCAGATGACCAAAGGAGTCGGGTGAGCCCACAGATGGACCAAAGACCTCAGCACCTGGCAGCCCCAGGAAGTCCAGGCCAAAGACGGCCGGTGGACAGGCAGTCCCACCAAACTCCTGGCTCAAGGATCGGACCGCGTCTCGGAGCTCTGGGAAGTCCAAGGTAGCCCCCTCCCCAGATACCAAGGCCACCACGAAGCCGCAGCCAGACTCCCGCCCCAGAGGCTCTCAGGAAAGCCGTCAGGACATTCAGCCACCAGACCTGCCAGACGTGGGGCGGAGTCCACCCGAAGCACACCGACCTGCTCTCAGACGAGGCCCCCAAGAGGCCCCAAGAGGTCCCCAAGAGGCTCCCAAGAGGGCTCCAAGAGGCCCGAGAGGGTCCCCCCGAGGCACCCACGATGCTTCAAGAGGCCCCCGGGACCGCCAGGAGGCCCCCAGGACGCCTCAAGAGGACCCCAAGAAACTCTCAAGAGACATCCGAAGAGACATCCAAGAGGCCTCTGGCCTGGCTGCTCGCCCTCCTCATTTATCACATCCTCCTGCTCCTCCTCCTCCTCCTCCTCCTCCTCCTCCTTTCCTCCTCCTCCTCCTCCTCCTCCTCCTTCTCCTCCTCCTCCTCCTTTTCCTCCTCCTCCTCCTCCTCCTCTTTTCCTCCTCTTCCGCATCCTCCTCGTCCTCCTCCTCCTCTTCCTCCTCCTCTTCCTCACCCACCTCCTCCTCCTCCTCCTCCTTCTTCTCCTCCTCATCCTCCTCCTCCTTCTCCTCCTCCTCCTGATCCTTATCCTCGTCCCTCCTCCCTCCTCCACATCCCGCTCCCCCTCCGTTTGCTCCTCCACCCTCCCCCTCCTGGGGTACGGCGTTTCCCCGGCTCTTTATTCGACTGCATGTTCCTCAACATCCCTGATCATGGCAGCTCGCCTGGGTACAGTTCCTAGACTGGCTGGTGGGCTCACTGGCTTACGCGAAGCGTCCAGAACAAGCTTACCTGCAAGGGTTCTGGATGTCTCTCGGGTGACATGTGGACTGCCCGATCAACTACCGGCCGGGCGGCGTGGCTCCCGTGGACTCCCGTGGCTTCCCGCTGCCTCCCATGAATCGGGAGTCCGGGTGTAAGCCCCGAGGGGAAACGGAGTCGCACAACCAGGAAATCGATCTCGGTTTCGGTCTGTCGTGTGTGACGTGCGGGCGGGCGGGGCCAGGCGAAGCTGCGCGAGTTCCTGCCCTGGCAGCAGCCGGATCAAGCCAAACGAGTCGACCCCCGCGAGGCGGCCATTGGGTGAAGTTATCATGGTGGTTGTCCCGATGGTTGTCCCGATGGTTGTCCCAATAGTTGTCGCAATGGTTGTCCCAATCGGCCGCGAGCACAAGGGAGGCAGGGGGAGGGGGGAAGGCGACTTAGAAAAGGGCTGCTTTTGGGAAGGCGCTGGCCTCACATCTACAGACAGGACCCGCGCCTTCTAAGAAGCGGCCTCCTTCTGAGAAACCGTCCCCCCTCCACCTACGACGCCATGCTGTGCCATGTACTGCTACGCCATGCTGCGACATCCGATTCTGCGAACAGAGAAGAGATCTACGCCATGGTGAGGGATGGGAGGGAGGGGTAGGACGTCAGACATGACGCGAGCACGCCTGGCTTCTCCTACCCCCTCTGCGGGTGGCCCACTGGAGGTCACGACGCCTTCCCAGGACTGGCCTCTGACATCGAGACGCCGCTGGGCGGCCTTGAGCGCCCGGTGACGAGGGCACCCCTGGTAGGCCGAGGCCAGCCCCAGAAAACCGACCGTCGCGAGGAGGTCACGGCTCCCTCTCCAAGGCCGCCCATATGGTTAGGCCGGGCATGTCCTCCTACGGGCGGATTTTGGGCGAAAAAAATGGGCGAATACCCCCCAAAAGGCAACTAAATCTGAGAAAAAGCGTCCCCGGACGATTTTTGGACTATTGCTGAATCTTCCTCCTGTAGAGGGAAGGGACATGCCCGACTTAAGCCCATGGCGACAGCACTACCGACAGCCGACCGAACCGACAGCGAAACCGAAACCGATCGAGACCGAATCCACCGGAAGCAGCCGAGACAGATATAATTACCACGACGCCGCAGCAGTGCCACATCCGACCCAACCGAACCGGTCGAACTTCGCCGACTGCGACGCAGCCCTACCGACCGAAGCGTGGATACCCTCCCTCTCGCCCGTCCTCGTCCTCCTCCCCCTCCTCCTTCTCCTCCTCCTCCTTCTCCTCCTTCTCCTCCTCCTCCCTCTTTTTGCTCATCCTCCCACACCATGGGTGAAAACAAAAGGTACCGACGCCGCCCCAAGATCTCTCCCTGAGAACGTTATGACCAGACCCCGAGGCGAATCAGCTGCGGCGACGAGGGCCTCCACCAGAGGCCCACAACGGCGAGAACGAGGGCCGCCACCAGAGGCCCACAACGGTACCACCCCTTTTCCCCAGACATCCGGCCGCTCCACCTTCCCGGAGGTCTGGACCACTTCCTATCCGTCCTGAGTCCTTTGGTGACGGTCCCGGAGCCCGGCGACGGCCCCAAGAGGCCGAAAACGGCCAAAAACCAGCCACCCCTGAGGTCCGACGTTGCATGCACAAAAATGTAACACCCGCATAAATCACGACCAGACCCCTGGACCCCATACTATTTATGCCACATCTTGCAAGCCGGATCGATCCGTGAGGGTCACTCTGGGCCCGGCATGGAGCGAAAACGCCCAGCTCGCACAAATTGAAGATCGCCAGGGTCTGCGGGGCTCCGATGTTAACAGTCTCAGAGATCCGATGTCGTGATTTGTTCAATGCGGGGTCCCGGGAGGTCCCGACCCATTCCCCAGGACCGGTTCTTCATCCCGAGTCGTTTTTTGACGGTCCCGAGGCCCGGCGAGTGCCCCCAGACGCCGAAACTAGCGAAAACCCTCCGTCTTGATTTTTTCAATGCGTTGGATCTCTGGGGTTGAATATCGCCGGGGTCTCAGGGGCTCCCAATGTCTTCCGGGGCGTCGGACGCCCGTGCCCTCCTCCGACGCCAGTCCGGGCCCCGGGGCGCGGCCCGCGGCGCAGCTTGCCCGGGGACAGCGCCCGCGCCGGCAGCGGGTGCAGCCGCCGCTGCTCCAGCGCCCCCGCGGGCAGGACCGCTGGGATGCCCGGGCCGACGAGGCGGGCGCCTGAGCTCGATGCAGTATCACATAGGTTCGCGCGGCGCCGGCGCGCGCAACAGTGCTGTCGACACCGCGTCGAGCGCTCGAACCGATCGCGGCCCCGATCGCTCAACTCCCAGACCCCCTCGCGTCATGAAACAATCACGACAGGAGATTCGTCGCTATTTTCGGCCTCTGGGTGCCACTACCGAGCCTCGGGACCGTCAAAAACGACTCAGGATGAAAGACCGGTCCCTGGGAATGGGTCCAGACCTTTGGGGGTCGACATCGTTATCAAAAAATCATGACGTCAGGGCTCTGGGAAGGTCGAATCCCGTTGGGTTCTGTGTCGTGAATGTGCCCCTCGGTGCTTCCGCGTCGTTTTATCATTTGAAATCCGACGCTGTAACAAAAAATGCAACATCGCAGAAATCACGGCCGGACCCCTGGACCCCATGTTATTTGTGCCTTATTTTTCGAGCCGGATCGATCTGTGCTCGAAATTGAGCGCTAATGCCCGGCTCGAAAAAAATTGAATCGACAGGATCTCAGGGTTCCCAGGGTTCTATCATGCGGAATTAAACCTTAAACGCCTTTGCCGGCGTCGCCGGCGCGCCAACGCCGCACGAACCTACCGTATCGCGCGCCGCGCGCACGCGAGGAGCTCCACCGAAGGCCCCAGTGGCGGTGTCCGCATGCGTTTCCCCCATCCAGTACAACGCTTCGTGGCCCCATAGGGAGCTCCACAGAAGGCCCCAATGGCGACGTTCGCATGTCGGCCCCGCTGCATTTCGACACACCCCGCACACGTCCCGTGGCCTCATATGGAGAGCCACCGAAGGCGCCAATTGCTGCGCCCGCATGCGTCCCCGCCTCATTTCGGCACACCCATCAGATCCACCGAAGGCGATGCACACAACGGCGATACCCACAACTGCGTATGGTTGGACCCTTCGCCAGGATGATTCTGCACCTCTGGGAGGCTGCTGGGGTCCAAAAATGGGGGGCTGGGCTCGAGATGTCGGAGGAGGAGGAGGAGAAGGAGGAGGAGAAAGGGGAGGAGGAGGAGGGGGATGAGGAGGAGGAGGAGGAGGAGGAGGAAGGAGGAGGAGGAGGAGGAGGAGGAGGGGGAGGAGGAGGAGGAGGAGGAGGGAGGGGTGAGGAGGAGGGGGAGGAGGAGGAGCAGGAGGAGGAGTTTGCCTCCTCGCGGTGCCTTCCTGGCTGCCTCGGTATAGCCCTCCCCAGAGACCCTCTCTTGGGCCGCCTGGGGGGCCAGCCTTGGAGCTGTTCGGGGGTCCACTGTGAAGCCTCCTGGGGGAGTCTTGGAGCAACACTTGCAGGGAATACTCGTCAATAGTTTCCTATTCGGCGTTTCGACGGTGGGAGGAAGGGGGGGGAGGAAGGGGGGGGTCTGGCTCCGGACCTCTGCATAATGCGACAAGTTGTAAAAGTGCATCCTATGAGGGAGACTCTACCTGCTTAAAACCAGCGACAAAAACAAGCAAGATCTACTCCACGGGGGGGGGAAGGGGGGGGGGGGCGAGGGCCCGCGCCGATCGGCAAAACAATGATTAAACAAAGACCACCTTTTTTCCAAGCCGTCTGCAGATTTGAAATTCTGGCTCCCTTCCCCAGAAGGCCTAGGTGCACTGGATATGGATGAATCTGCCCCCTAGAGGCTCGATGTTTATCTGTATCCAGCCAGTGCGCCTCGGCCTTGTGGCGCCCCTTCCAAGAAAACCCAAGACGCACCGCACTGGATCTGGATACAGTTTTCGCCCGCAACATTGGCACCCTCTTGGCCCATCGTGATACGTCAGGGGCTCGAAAACAGCATGCGAAAGGCGCGCAAGAAGCCCAAATAGAATAGATGATCACAGATGTATCCTTCTCGAGGCCCCCTTGGGGACCCTCTGGGAGCGCCTTGAGCCGTCGTGGAGGCCGCTGCGGCTATCCCGAAGCCATCGTGGGCCGTCCTGGAAGGCTCCGGCCCATGTCCGAGGCCTCTGGGTCGTCTGCGGGGGTCTTGGAATCTTTTGGCCCGTCTTGGGCGCCCCTGAGCCTTGTGAAAACAGCCCGAGATTGCGCATCCAGGGACATGTGCAAGGAATGTCAGTCGGCCCATCCCGCCTCGTGCCCAGGTTGTGGGTGAGGCATCGGGCTTTGGGACGCATGTCGGGATCTCTTCGGAGGCCTCTCGGGTACTGTGGTGGGCGGCTTGGGGGTCTCTAAGGAGTCTCTCGCGTGCATCTGGGGGCCTCCTGGGAGCCATCTTGGGGGCCTGTTTGGGACTCCTAGGGGTCCTGGTGCGTGGAAAAGTCGAAATGTTGGTTCGTGCTCCCCCTCTGGGACCGATCTTGTGCGATTCCTGATGTGTTCTTGGGCCGTCTTGGAAATCTTTTGGGCCTTCTTGGAGGCCTCCTGGGCCCTCTGGGGGGCCTCTTAGGCCGTCTCGGGGTGACGTTCGGAGCTTCTGACGAAGTCCTGGAGCGCGGGGAAGCCGAAAAGGCGAAAACAGTAAAGACCGTCAAACACCGACTGTAAGCCACTGAGATGTTACCCCTTGGGCCCTCCTGGGGCGCCTCTTGGACTCCCCCTGGAGCAATTCGAGAGCGTTTTGGGCCGCCTGATAGCTCTCATGGAGGGCCTGTAGGTCGTTTTGGGCCACCTGGAGGCCACCAAGTGCGTCTCGGAGAAGTTGTTCGGCGACTCGGGTCCCTCTTGGGCCGTATAAGGCATCTCTTGAATCGTCTCGGAACGGGCCCGGGCCCCTGGTCCCACCATACGCTGTCGGGGCCCAGGCCCTGGGTCCCCTGGCCTGATACACCGAGCCCCGTCCATCTATCTATCTTCATTTCCGTGCCATGCGTATTTGTATGTCCACTACATGTGTATCAGTGTGGGGATTTGCAGGTCGTCTATGTTATTTGTATATATCCACAGATGTGTATATAAATTTAAATAGCTTGACGACAATAACTGATCCCACGTGGTCATATGTTAAGCACTCTTTAAACATAACATTGTGATATACTTGAGTTCGATATACTAATTATAATGGAATGCTGGATATACTACTACAGCGCGTCACATCGTAGTATACGATACTGCATTGTGTTGCGTTCTATGTAAACTAAACAACTTTACATTGAACTGTAGCTTACTATATCAATTCGATTGCCTCCTCGTGTAGCAGCGTTGTTTGTGGTGTACTATATACGGCTGAAAAATGTTATGCCTTATTTCGTAGCATGGTATTTCTTTTGTGAATGAAATGTAGTATGCACAGCGTTACACTATAGTTACTTAAAAACAGCATTACCTGTATTACATCGTAGTATATAACAACATGATGTGATTCAGTATAGTTGAACGCACTGCCGTATAGCATGTTGTAATATCGTATGGTTAATTGTAGACTATATGCTAAAGATGCATACAGTTTGCATTGCCGTTTTTATATTGTGCTAAAGTGTGGTACCATGTGTCACAGTATAGGTGTGTGCGGCGTGGCCTTTGGTTGGCCTCTTCCTCCCGTGCCCTCCCATTGCCATCCTTGAACTGCCGGACGCCGACTCGGTCGGGCGACGTGGCCTCTCGTGGCCTGCCGTTGCCCCCCGTGGCCTCTCATTGCCGCCCCTACCTCCATCACCGCCCCCATCCCTAGATCCCTATCCGACAACCCCTAGTTTTAGATCGTTATCCCTATCCTTGTCCCTATGCCAACCCTATCCCTATCCCTCAGTGTCCCCGTCCCTATCCCCATCCTGGTCCCTATTCATATGTCCCTCTGTTGCTGCTGCTCATTTGTATAAAGACCCCATCCCCCAGGCCACTGGCAGCCAACCAAGACCAGTGGTGGGCGGCGAGAGTCGTAAACAGGGACAGCTACCCACCCCTCAACTGCGTGCTCGGCGGAGGGTGCGGCGTCAACCCCAAAAACCAGCGAGGGGGGGGGGCCGCCTCAGCCTCCTGGCCGCCCCGGGTCGCCCCAGGAGTGCCCCAGGGCAGGCCACCGGGCGGCCAGAGGGGCCCCGGGAGGCCTCCGGCAGTGCCCCAAGACGGCGACGAGCAAGAGATCCAGTGCCTGGTTGTTCCCCATTGCGGGACCCCCAAGAAAAGTCTCGACCCGGCCCCCCAGGGGTAGGTCGGGCATGTGCTCCTGCAGGCGGATCTTGGGCGAAAAACCAAACAGTGCCTAGGACCAATACCCCCAAATGATCAAAAGTAATAAGAAAATCGTCCCCATACGACTTGTTGGTAGAGGGACAGGCCCGAATGAAACCCCTGGGCCGGCGTGTCACCCCGCGTCGTTCTCTACGTGACGGCCCCCGGGGCCCGGCGCGCGTGCCTGGAGAGGGCGACAGTGGCGAGCAGACCTCAGGACGCTCAGGACGTTGGACGTCTGCAGACGAGCGCGTTCCACTACTCGCAAAATAACTACTCGCAACTGGCCTGGATCCGCCGCGGGGGATCTACGATTGATCTCATCGAAGCGAACCTATGTTTTTGAAGACGTTTGCGAGTAGGCACTTTGCGAGTAGTGGAACGCACTTGGTGAGTATCGGCGTAAAGAGGGCCTCCAGGAGCGCGGCAGCGACGGCGCCGACGTCGGCGACCACGACGGGCGTGGCGGCCGTGACGACGCTGACTACGACGTCGGCGACGGCGGCAGCGGCGGCCACCGAGCCCGGCGCCATCCACGGTGCGGTGGTGGGGGGACAGGGCGCCCGGCGAGCCGCCTCCTCCGCGCGGGGGGGGGGATCCGGGGGGGGGGAGATCTGCCCACACCCACATCGGCGGTTCAAAGATGGGGCCCTGAGGAGGGCAATGGTGCAGTCGGACCCAGGCCAGAAGAGCATCCCTCCAGAACATGCGACCCTCCGTCGGCCAAAACAAACACAGGGAGGGGGGAAGACTTCTTGGAAGGAGCCCGCGCCTTCTGAGAAGCAGGGGTGCTTCTAAGGAACATTCACCCCTCCCCCTACCCCCTCTGCGCGTGGCTGAAAGAGGGGGCCAGCTCAGTGGGGAAACATCGAGCATGAATCCGGCGATACATCGCCGATAGATCGGCAATGCGCTCCCGATAGCGAATCCTGACGTCCCTTGGCAGGTTGGGACTATCGGGTCCCTGCCGGCGGTGAATGGGCGACTGGGCCTCGATGCAACCCCTCCTGAGCACGGCCCCCGCTGACGTTGCCCCTGACCTGAGGGATGAGGCCGGACGAGAACCTCAAACAGGGAGGGCTCGGCCTGGCTCCAGCTCCCCATCCTCCAAAAAGGCCCCCTCCCTCGGGGCCCCGTCGTCCGGAGGTCGGAAGCGGGCATGGCAGAAAGGGGTGTGGTGCCCATCGTGGAGGTCGAGGTGCGATCTGCGACAGATGGCATCGCCAGACTCGACATTGGCACCATATACCTCTTTATGCCAGAGCCAGAATCCTCTGGGGACCGCCGGCCACCCACCGGGAGCTGCCACGGGTGCCCCCCGGGCCACCCACCCACCTCTTCGCACCTCGCGCCCCGTGCCGCGCGAAACGCGCGGCCACCCTTGCGCGCCCTCGCCCCGCCGCCCCCCCAGAGAGAAGGGCGCCGCTGCAGAGCGCAGCTCTCTCTCCGCGCGGCTCTCTCCGCGCCCGCTCGGGGGGCAACCCCAAGCGCTCCTGGCCGAACGAGGTGCCCCCGCGCGTTCTCGCGCCGCTTCGGAGCTCCCCGCGCCGCTCCAGAGCGCAGCTCCCTCTCCGCGCGGCTCTCTCCGCGCCCGCTCGGGGGGTGACCCAGGCGCTCCTGGCCGAGCGAGGTGCCCCCGCGCGTTCTCGCGCCGCTTCGGAGAGCTCCCCTGGCCGGCTGCCTCCCGAGTGGGGTCCCAGCGGACGGGGTCGGGGGATCGCGCCGCATCGCAGGTGCATCGCCGATGCGTCGGAGATGTATTGGCGGGCGACGTCGGCGATGCAGCGGCGCCGTTAGCGTGGAGAAAATCGGGCTGCACGTCGAGCCCCCTTGGGCCTTGTGAGGGGTACACCTGCCCAGACATCCGACGTCGTTCATCGTTCACAACGCGGCTCCCCAGAGGTCTGAACCCCTTCCCAGGGACCGACGAGTCATCCTGAGTTTACTGTTTACGCTCCGGGGGCCCGCTGGGGAGCCCAGGAGGGCAGAGATTCACGAACACCCTCCGTCGCTATATTCCTTCAAACGAGAGGGCGCCTGGGTGCAGGCCACCGGGGCCTCCCCGAGGAGGCCAGGGCCACCTCACGGCCACCTGCGGCAGCGCCCGAGCCGAGCTGGGGGCGTGCCCCGGAGGAGGAGGAGGAGGAGGAGGAGGAGGAGGAGGAGGAGGAGGAGGAGGAGGAGGCGCGAGGAGGAGCGAAGAGGAGGAAGGAGGAGGAGGAGGAGGAGAGGAGGAGAGGAGGAGGAGGAGAGGAGAGGAGAGGAGGAGGAGGAGGAGGAGGAGGAGGAGGAGGAGGAGGAGGGGGGGTGGCCTCGGGCAGCGATGCGCCGAGGGTCGAGGCCCGGGGACCGGGCGTCTGCTGGCGGGGCCAAAGCCTCGGGCTGCGCACGGGGAGGCGCCCAGAGGTGGTCCTGGCGGGCCTCCACGGGCCCCCCCGAGCAGCCCGCGGCGGTCTCGGCGCCCTGGCGCCGCCTCGGATGGCGCCCCTGTTGGTGAGAGCGCCCCGGGCTGCTCGGGGGGCCCTGGCGAGGCCAGCCGGGACTACCTGGGCGGCTCCCTGCGCACAACCCGAAGCCTGGCCATGCTGGCGCTCTCTTCCTGACCTCGGTGCTCGGGACTCCACCCTCGAAGCTTCCAACCTCGAGCTCCTGTAAGGGCCCGCGGAGGCCGCAAAATAGCGAAAGCCTCCCGTCGTGATGTTGTCATAGCGCGAGGGGAGGAGGAGGAGGAGGAGGAGGAGGAGGAGGAGGAGGAGGAGGAGGAGAGGAGGGAGGAGGAGGAGGGAGGAGGAGGAGGAGGAGGAGGAGGAGGAGGGAGTAAGAGGAGGAGGAGGAGGAGGAGGAGGTGGAGGTGGAGGAGGAGGAGGGAGGGAGGAGAAGGAGGTGAGGAGGAGGTGGAGAGGAGGAGGGATGGAGGAGGAGGAGGAGGAGAAGGAGAGAGGAGGAGGAGGAGGGAGGAGGGAGGAGGGAGGGAGGGAGGAGGAGGAGGAGGAGGAGGAGGAGGAGGAGGAGGAGGAGGAGGAGGAGGAGGCGGAGGAGGAGGAGGAGGAGGAGGAGGAGGAGGAGGAGGAGGAGGAGGAGGAGGAGGGGGAGGAGAGAAGGAGGAGGAGAGGCGGTCTCGGGGCTCCCAGGGCGCTCTCGGGCCTCCCAAGGCGGCCTCCCGTCGCCGCGGCCGGGCCTCCGCCTCGGCGGCATCCTTGCTGGCCCCCCGCGCGGCCACGCCCCCGGGAGGCGGCCTGGGCGCCCCGGCGCCACCGGCATCTCCCCTCTCGGAGGCCGCCTCGAAAGGGCTCGAGGCCTCGAAGGGCTCGAGGGCTGCGGTTAGAGCACGGAGGTTCACTGAAGGGGCCCGGGGACACACCAACAAATAGCCGGAAAGCCCAGGATCCCCAATATGCTTCCATAGATGTATTCTGGGTGTTCGTCTTCCTCCCCCACTTCCCATATCTGCCCATAGACTCCTGGGAGGCGACGGTCAGTTTTGTCTGTGTGATTAGATTATTCCCCTCCTGCTTCTTGTATGTGTACGGACCTCCCAGAGCCTCTCGGAGACTTCTCGCCTCCAAGGCGGGATGCCCTCTGAAAAATGATGGCCAGGGCGTGTCCTCGGAAAAGTCCCCGGGCCGCTCTTCCTTCTTCGGTGAGGGCAGACCTCCCCCGACCTCCTCGAGCAATGAAAAAATCACAACGGGAGGTTTTTCAATTTTCGGCCTCGGGGGGCCCTGACCGGGCCTCGGGACCGTCAAAAAACGACTCAGGATGAAAAACCGGTCCCAGGGAATAGGTCGAAGCCTCTCGGGGTCGACGTCATGAAAAAATGATGACGTCGGGGATCTGGGTCTCCAGAGCCCCCGCGTCATGGAAAAAGAGCACGGCGGAGGGATCGTGACCAGCTTCCGCCTCCCAGGTCCCACTGGGCCGCCAGCACAGTTAGGAGACTGCCTCTCGGGGAACAGCCTGCACCTCTGGGAGATCCACGTTGCGAAAACAAGACGTAGGAGGTCGGGGGAGTACCCCGAGTAATACTGGAAGCGTTAGGAGGCAACTCTGGCGATGTGGACGATTCAATACTATGATCTTAGACCCAGTGAAGCCACTGCTTAGCTGCACCGGGCCAGGCTGAGCCCCCCGATTAAGCATCACTGAACATGAGAAGTCCGGATTAGACCGGATCCCGACCAACACATACCGGGGAGGGCCGATGCAGAATGCAGCCCCCTGTGAATTTGCAACCTGAATGTGGGTACTGCCCAGCCCCCTGAGGACTAGAGATACGGCCGCTTCGTGTCGTGGCGCACGTGCGGCTTTCGTATAGCGCAGGTCGATCGACATCGACGATTTCCAAGCCGCTGGCGGCGGTCAACCTTGTCCGCCCGCGCTGCGATCGCCGCCGCACGCCCAGCGTGGTCCTCCCCCGACCTTCGTCATGATTTTGTGGCACAACGTGCAGGGACTCCCCGGGGTCTCCACCCCGCATCACCCTGGATCACATGCTTCATTCCGAGTGGTCTCCTGACGGTCCCGGAGCCAGACAGTCCAGCCAGTTTCTGGAGGCTGAAAATGTGCACAAACCTTCCGCCACAACTCTTTCACGACGACGGACCGTTCGATTCGGGCGGCTTCCAGGCCATTGGCAGCATTCGACCTCAAACGGCAGCGCTGGGGTCGCTGCCGCGTTGACGCGCATTGGGGGCACGCGCTAATTTCAGCCCGATGCGGGGCCCCGGACGGGCCAGATATCCTCGCGCTGCCCTCCGAGCGCCGCAAGTTTGAGAGCTTACGGTCATGATGCACCTTTGCTTAGCGTGTCGCGGCGGCAGCCCCTGCGACACTCTATGCCCTGCAAGCTGATATCTTTTCGCTCGACCCCGCGTGGCGGGCGGCCAGGAAAGGCTCGAGACGCTGATGCCTGGAAACTGGGACGTGGTTGGCGTGTCGAGCCGAAACATGGCGGGCCGTAATCGGGCGGCGCGACACGCTAAGCAAACGCTCTCGATCATATGCCCGCGCGCAGATACGTATCCAGACATCCGACGCCGTGATTTCTGCCGCAGCGTGGCCCCAGGAGGTCCCGACCGCTTCCCCGGGAGTGGCTCCTCGTTCCAGCTCGATGGTTGATCGCCCCACAGGGCCCGACAACGGGCCCCCGAGGCCGAAGTGGAGAGAAAAAGCCCCCCGGTGGGAAAAAGAGCATCTCGCCAGAGACCTGGGCAGCAGTTTTGGCAGTGCAGCCATGGCACTGCCAGAAGGACTGCGGAACAAGGAGCGACGCCCCCTGTTTTGCACCAGCAGGTCATGCAGTTTTGATGAACGGCTGGGCCCCTCTCTGGAGGAGGAGGCGGAGGAGGAGGAGGAGGAGGAGGAGGAGGAGAAGGCCCCTCGTCTCGAGAGTGCCCCACTTCCTCGCCCAGCGAGCGCCTCCAGGGGGATCCCCTTGCAGAGCTGCGAGGGAGCGCGGGCAGACCCGAGGAGCCACCGGAGCCCCCTCCAGACCCGACATGGACCTTGGCTCCGCGCCACGACTTCGGCCACAGGCCACAGGCAAGGCTGACCCTTGGTGAAAGCGAGCGACCTCTGGTGCGCGGCTTTCTGGGGGGGCCGCGGGGTGGCCCAACACACGCGAGCAAGACGCTAGTATCGCATCGTGTTCGGCGATCGGGGGACCCCAGTGGGCCCGCACCACAGGTCACTCCAGCGAAGGGTCACTCCACGTGTAGCCGATGACTGTAGCTAGGCAATGTCCAGCGCCCCGCGTGGTCCTTAGGGGGGCACGTCCCCAAAGACCTGTGTCAGAGAGACGTGTGACTCGGGTCCGGGGGACTCGGGTTGGCCTCACGGGGCCATCATGAGAAACGATGAGACCCAGCCTGAGATTTGACACGCGAGACCCCGCTGCGAACACTCCACGAAAGCTGGACCGCAAAAACCCAGGACGCGCTCGTCGAAAAGCATCGGCAAGCCCGAGTTCCGGGGAACCCGAATCTTACGTTTCCCCGACTGCGGCTGGGGGCAGGCTTCCCCGGGACGCGGCGCCTCCTGCCAGCCCGCCGAGCCCGCCGCAGTCCATGACCACCGCGCACATCACCACGGCGGGCGCATGCGCGGCCTGAGGGTCGTCGCCGTCTTTTCAAGGGGGCCTAACCGGGCCTTCCCTGGGATCCATATCGATGATGATGACGACGATTATGATGACGATACTGATCGCCACCGTCATCGTGATCGTCAGCATCATCATCAGCATCAGCATCAGCATCATCACCATCATTAGGATCAGTATCATCATCATCATCATCATCATCATCATCATCATCATCATCATCATCATCATCATCAGTATCATCATCATCATCATCGGCATCAGCATCAGCATCATCATCATTCTTATCATCATCGTCATCATCATCGTCATCGCCGTCGCCATCATCATGATCGTCCTCCTCATCATCAGCATCAGCATCATCAACATCATCATCATCATCATCATCATCATCATTATCATTATCATCCTCATCCTCATCCTCATCCTCGTCCTCATCTTCACCATCACCATCATCATCATCATCATCATCATCACCATCACCATCACCATCACCATCACCATCACCATCATCATCATCATCATCATCATCATCATCATTATCATCATCATCATCATCATCATCATCATCATCATCGGTATCATCATCATCGTCATCATCGGTATCATCGCCATCACCGTCATCGTCATCATCGTCATCGTCATCGTCATGGCAATCATCGTTTTAGGGCACCGCCGTTTTTTCACGCCGGGCGAGTTTGCCCCGATCCGGCTCGGGCCGACCAGGCTCAGCAGATGTCGCAGAAAGAGGGGGCCCAGGGCTGCGGGCGAACGTTCTACGATGTTGCATTGATGCCGCGACGTCAAACCTCAGAGTCCGACGCTGCGACTCCCTCGGCCTGGCAGATGCTCCTCCACCACAGCCTGAGACGGACACAAGAGGTTAACCTCCCTCGCCTTCAAAGGGAGCGGTCAAGCGAGAGCAACGGGCAGAGGTTCCTCCATTTGGGCCTCTGCGGGCTCCTTGGACCATGCACAAATGAAGGACCTGGACGAAAAACCTTTCCCAAAATGGGAAAAGGTCGGGGCCGCTGGGGCCGCGGATTTGAAGAAACCGGATGTCTGGGCGGTTTCTCTCGCGGGGTGGCCGACTCGGCCATCTTGGCCTCGCGGATCCTGGCCCATATCGAAAGTGTCGCCGACGTGTCACGGCGCCGCAGGTCGGGCTTCGGAAGGTCGAGTGTTACTATGTTCCATAGAAACATGGTCCGAATAACAAAGATCCCCCCACAAACCCTCGAGCAACCAAGACAACCCATGCTGATGAATGACGACAGGACGACATACCCCAGGCAACCCCTTCGACAACCCATCGGGGATCCAGACAACCCCTTTGGACGAGCCTCCCTGGAATCCCACCAGCCCTCTGGGCGTCGGTGGTTTAGGGCGTTTCCTCTTCCACCCCTCCCTTTTCCCCTTCGGGGAGGGGTTTACCCCTCCCCAAACCCCCTCCCCATGGACCTGGCCGGGGGGGGCGGGGAGGGTGTCAGGGCGTCCAAAACGGCTTCGGCGAGGAAGCCAAAATCATTGATGTTACTTGGGTTTTGGCCCCATTTTGGCCTCCTGAGGGGGGGACGCTAACTAGTGCCCCCCCCTCCTGTGATCGGTCTCCTCCAAGATGGCCCCAAGAAGCGCCTAGGAGGCCCCAAGAGTGCCCCAAGATGGCCCCAAGACGCCCCCTAAGAGGCCCCCAAGAGGATCCCAAGCGGCCCAAAGAGGCCCCCCCAAGGCACCCAAAACGCCGAAAAGCCCCTCAGGACGGCCCTCTACTCGCCTGGGCATCGTTTCTGGATGGGCTGTTGGGGGTACTTTTTCCTCGCGGGCGCAAGCGGACGCGCAGGCGCCGAGTCGAAAGGTCCGGGCCACGGGCCGTTGGGGGTACGCGAAGCGTCTAGAATTTCTCTTCAACAAGATATAGTAGGGCCCCCCTCCCATTTTCGCCCTCCTTGTACTGCCAAGTCTCCCCACCCCTCCTATCCCTCCCCCTTCCCTCCATCACTCCTGGTGCCCTACCATTCGCTTGCCATCCTTCAATCCCTGTGCCTCGCTCCTGCTCCCTGTGCCTCGCAGCTCTGCAGGCCTGGGCTTTCTACAGGGCACGCTCTCGGAATCCTAAGGCCAGAAGTGCTGCCTCCGCTGGCCGACCCGCCGCCAAGTTTACCTCCTCGCGCTGGCTTCCGTTGGGCGGCGAGGTGCGCCGAAGAAGCGCGGCCTTTTGGAGGCCGTGCATGCAAACGATTTCTCATTCGTCGTTTCGACATTGGGCGGAAGGGGGGGGAGGGGGGGGTCTGGCTCCAGACCTCTGCTTAATGCGACTGTTTGCAACAGTGCGTCCAGTATGGGGAGACTCCACCTGCTTGAAACAGGCGCCGAAAAACAGCCAAGATCTACATTAAGGGGGGGGAGGAGGAGGGGGGGGCGAGGGCCCGCGCCGATCGGCAAAACAACGAATCAGACAACGATCGCTGTATAGTGATGGATCTATGTTTGTTTGTCCAGGAGCCCAGAAACGGCCCTTCGGTGTTCTGAAAGACGATGGCCCGCTCGACCAAGAACCCCCCTACGTCGTGCTCTTTTGTCACCCCGTGGACCTCTGGAGCGACCTGCCTTTCACCCTGCTGTCTTGGGCCCCCAGAATCTAAAATTGCTAAAAGCGTCCCCCATGGTGTTACCACAACGCGAGGAGGTCTGGGTCCTGGAGTCAAACATTTACCCCCAGACGCATCCTGGTTTCCGTTTGAACCAGAATTTCGATGCGTATCCAGCCGTGGCGACAAGACGCCTACGAGAAGCTCAACTAATTTCGAAAGCGTACGAGAGCTTGATCCACGATCCGCAAAACTCGAACCTCTGAGTCTGAAGCGGCCTTTATTCGTCGGTCCAACCAAGCTCGACGCGGCCCTGAGACCTGACGCCGCCGACATAAATTCGCCGGCCCAACGGGCCAGAGGCGTGCTAAGATCCCCGGTAACTGTCGCGCGCGCGGGGCAGCCCCTGGGGGTACCCGGACGAAAAGTACCCGGGGACGGTCCCGTCAGAGATGGTTGTCCGCCTGGGCGCGGCTTTCCGGCGCCCCAGAGCGCTCCAAGAGGGCTTCAAGATGTCATCAAGATGTCTCCGAGTCGCTTACCGATCGGTCCAAGACGCCCAAGATGGCCTCGTGCCCGCAGACGCCTCCACGACGCCCACAGAGGCCTCCAAGAAGCGTCTCCCCACAGGGGCCTCCAATGATTTTCCTATTTTTTTTTAGGATTGTGGTGTTCTCACCTGTTCGGCCTCCCGACGCTCCAAGACGGCGCCAGAGGCTCCAAATATCGCCCCAAGAGAACCCAAGAGTCCTCCAAGAGGGCCCCAGGACGGCCCTCGAGGGCCCCAAGACGGCCCAAGAGGCCTCCAAGAAGCCCCCAAGAGGCCCAAAGAAGCCCCCAAGAGGCCCCAAGAAGCCCCCAAGATGACCAAGAAGAGGCCCCCAGGGCCCCGTCAAACGGCTCCCAAGAGACCTCAAGAGGCTCCAAAACTGCCTCCAAGAACCTCCCGAAACGCCTGCCAAGAGACCCCAGCAACGCTGCATTGACAACGACCCCTCGGCCAATTTGGACGCCCGACATGAATACGGAAAAAATGGGTACAATGCCCAACAAATGTTGTGCCAAACCAACAGCGGCCGCTGTTGGGCAGGCGGCCTTCTGTCTCAAATGGACACAGGCCGCGGCGGCGCGGACAGCGAGTCCTGTTCAAAATGAACAGGAACTGCTGTTGGGCATCGTACCCATTCTGTCCGTACCCATTTCGTTCGTGCAGAGCCAAACGGCAGAGATGAGGCTACATGGGCCAGCGGAATGAGCGAAGCGATGGAATAAGCATCGCGACAAACCACGACCAAGGTCGCCCCGTGGCCCCCCGCTTCTCTGCCGCATCCCTCGAAACCAGCTCTCCCTGCGGTACTTTTCGCGGCGGGTCCACCCCACCCCTCTGCGGCACTCTTAGAGCTGGGCCGACCCTGCGTCGGGCCCCGCGGGGGCACGGACATCCGTCGTCGTGACGCTTCCGCCACGTGGATCCCCAGAGGCCTGGACTCCTCTTCCGGGACCTGCCTTTCCGCCCTCCCCCTCCTGTCGCCCCGGGGCCCGAGGCCGAACAGCTGCAAAAAAACCCTCCGTTCGGACGCGTGCACGGCGCGCGGATGGCGGGCCACGAGCGGCGAGCACTGCCCGCGCCCACGCCCTCGCGGCCTGGATCCCGGGGCACGACCCCGCACACACGCGGTCGCACGGATACGTCCGGCGCGGGGCATCCGCGAAAAACACTCCGGGCCCGTGGACTCGCGACCCAGGGGCACGGCCCGCGAGGCCGTGGATATGGATTTGCTTTCGCACACGACCAATGGGCCGGAGCCGGCGACATCGTCGTCGTCGTCGTCGCCGTCGTGGTCGTGGTCGTCGTCGTCGTGGTCGTGGTCGGGGCCGTGGCCGTGGTCGGAGTCGTGGTCGGGATCGTGGTCGTGGTGGTGGTCGTGGTCGTGGTCGTGGTCGTGGTCGTCGTCGTCTTCGTGGTCGTGGTCGAGGACGAGGTCGTTGTCATGATCGTGGTCGTGGTCGTGGTCGTGGTCGTGGTCGTGGTCGTCGTCGTCGTCGTCGCCGCCGTCGTCGTCGTCGTCGTCGCCGTCGTTGTCGTCGTCGTTCAACCGACGATGACGACGATGTCGACCGTGCCGCTGAGGGGCGGTCGTGGAGCGCGCCGAGGGGCGGTCGGTCCGGAGCTGCGGCTCCAGAGTGCGCCCGGCCCCTCCGCGCGCGCGCAGACGTCCGCGCGGCCCGCCCCCCTCGAGGCCGTCGGCAGGCTCTGCGGCGCCGCGAGCACGCGCGTGTGGCGCCCGGCGCGATCATCATCACCAGCATCATCATGGTGATAACGATGATGGTGATGATGATGGTGATGATGATGGTGATGATGGACAGCATGATCATCATCATCATCATCATCATCATCATCAGCATCATCATCACCATCATCACCATCACCATCACCATCACCATCACCATCATCATCGTCATCACCACCACCACAACCATTATCATCGCCATCGTCACCATCATCACCATCATCATCACCATCATCATCATCATCATCATCATCATCATCATCATCATCATCATCATCATCTCCATCACCATCATCATCAGCATCATCATTATCATCATCATCGTCATCAGCATCAGCATCATCATCAGCAACATCAGCATAATCAGCATCATCACCTCCATCATCAGAATCGTCGTCATCATCGACATCATCGTAATCATCATCGTCGTCATCATCATCACCAACAACATCAGCACTCTCGGCATCGTCATTGTCATCGTCATCGTCGTCATCGTCATCACCGTCATGATAATCATCATCATGATTACTCTCCTCCTCCTCCTCCTACTTATCCTCCTCCTCGTCGTCATCGTCGTCGCCATCATGGCTATGACTGTCGCCGCCATGATTACGACATCTCCTCAATATCATCGTAGTCGTCACCGCCATCGTCAACATCATCTTTACCGAATACCGCCGCGTCCCCCCAACGGCGGCCATGGTCGCGGAGAGCATACGTAACGATGCATCGTTCCTGAAATCCGCATGTTCAGTGCAAACATCAACACCGTCATACGGTCGATCATTCACGGTGACGCAGGGTAGTTACTGATACCCGCGCTTCCCTTACCACCAACTCACCGCCCCGAGCAAGCGCAACGCTCTAATATTGCCATGAAGTTTACAGGTTGGTGGTCCGAGCTTCATCTGGTGCATTTACAACCAAACCACCACGATCATGCACCCATAATTCATCCCACTCGCAAGCATTATCATTTGTCATGGCGGTCACGGTTGGCGCGGGGTATTGCCCTTGCCACCTTGCCACCGCAGTCGTTGTCACCATCATAAACGTGACATGCATTATCATGTTGGCCATGGGATCCAGATTGTTCAGGCGCCCCCAACAGAGGAGGGTCCAGATTACAGTAGACATCTACGATCAGAAATCCAAATATAAGATCTTGTGTGGCTCGATTGTCAACGATCTCTGAGCTTCCGAAGGTGTCCCAGTGCTTCTGCAGGTCCCCAGGGCCATGGGGGGATGAGAAATTTTCGTGGGGCACCTGCTGGCAGGCTGGATTCACACTTGACGCTCCTACTGCAAGATGGCGCCAGGAGGGGTGTCCGATGTATTCTGGGTTGCGATACGTAAGGCACCTGGAGAAAAAGGCATTAGGGTGTTATTTAGGGAAGTTATACAATAAACACATACGCTAAGAAACCTTGCCATAATGAACATTGCGGCGCATTATTTGTTGATATTTGACGGCCCTAAGCTGCCCCATAGCTTCTGTGGGTCCCTGGGGCGATCGGGGGATAAACCAATCCCGAGGGGCACCTGGCACGCCTACTGCAGGGGGTTCGGAAGACCATCGGGGGATCTCGAAGGTGTCGGAAGGCCCCAGGAGACCTTGGGGATCTACTGACCCGGGTCAATCCAGACCCAGGTCAGTCAGGCCTTGCCATTGGGCCCCAAGGGGTGCCCGCAAGACACGGCCCGCGGTAGAAAAACGTGGCTCCGCGGAGTGGGGGCCGACGACTCTGAAGCCCACGCCGAGACATCTATCGACGACGTCGGAGGGGCGGGGCTCGGCCTTCTCCCGCACTGCCCTCAAGCGGCTCTTGCGCGCTCTCGAGATCCTCCTCCTCCTCCTCCTCCTCCTCCTCCTCCTCCTCCTCCTCCTCCTCCTCCTCCTCCTCCTCCTCCTTCCTCCTCCTCCTCCTCCTCTCTCCTCTTCTCCCCGCCTCCTCCTCCTCCTCCTCTCCTCCTCCTCTCCTCCTCCTCCTCTTCTCCCCGCCCTTCTCTTCTCCCCGCCCTTCTCCCCCCCCCTCGCGCACCGGCCACCGCCGCCGCAGCGCCTCCCCCCTCCCCCCCTCGCCCCCCGGCCGCGCCCGCCCAGGAGGCCGAGGGCCAGCCGGAGAGCCCGGGGCGCAGGGCGAGCGCGAGAGCGCGCCGCCCTGGGCACGCTCGGGGGCCCTGGTCACGGCCACGCGGGGGCTCGAGGCACCGCCGTACGGAGGTGCTCGTCGGCGCGGGCAGCCCCGCACACTGCAGCGGCATCGCACAAGGCATGAACATGTGGAGGGGCTTCGGCGTCATCACATTCTAGAGTACGCCTCCTCCTCGCTCCGTTTCGCCTGTCTCGGCCTCATCCAGCATACCCATACCCACTGCCGCGCGCCTTGCGACATGGACTGCGCCAACGCGCGGACACCTCCGCCCATGGTGGTGGCTTCCTCCCCTCCTCCTCCCATCCTTGTGCGGACGCTCCCGCTCCCGGTCCGTGCCCACGCCACGATGATGCCGCTCCCGCTCCTGCCCCGACTGCCTCTCCGTGCTCCTGGCGTTCCCTTTCCTCCTCGCCATCCTCCTCCTCCTCCTCCTCCTCCTCCTCCTCCTCCTCCTCCTCCTCCTCCTCCTCCTCCTCCTCCTCCGTCTTGAGCGTACCCTCCTCCTGCTCCGCCTTCTCACGCATCCGTCCGCCGTTGCTGCTGCTTCTTCTCCGCATTCAGCTCCACCTCCTCCTCCTCCTTCCCCTCCTCCGCCGCCGCCACTTCGCGATCCTCCTCCTGATTATTGTCATCGCCTCACCACCGTCCTCGACCGTGCGTTTCTGCATATTACCTGACTGAGTGACGTTCCGGTACCCACGGTGGTCAGAGTCAAACTGGGGGAAGGAGGAAGGGGGAACGAGGAAGGACAACGTATGATGGAGGAAGATGAGCACGGAGGAAGGAGGATGGAGAAAGGATGAAGTACGAAGTGCAATGATGAAACATAGCATCGGAACGAGGAATGCGGAGAGAGGGACGGGACGAGGAATGAGGAGGGGGAGGAATAGAGAGAGAGAGAGAGGATGAGGAATGAGTCATAAGGAGTGGTGGCAGACAGAGAGGGGGGGATGGAGGAAGGAGGGCGCACGAAAGAGGAAGGACCATAAGGCGGAAGGAGTAAGGAGGACGGATGCAGGAGGGATCATGGAGAAGGAGGAGAAGGGATCAAGGATGCAGGAGTACCAACGGTGGAAGGATGAAGGGGGACGAATGGAAGAAGATGGAAGAAGGGATGAGGACAAAGGACGGAGGAAGGATGAAAGAGGAAGGAGGGAAGAGCATGGAGGACGGAAGGTGGGAAGATAGAACGTGCAAAAAAGCAATGAGAAAAAGGGAAGTGGTGGAGGCGAAGGCGGAGGGAGGGATACGAGGAGCGAGGAAGGGAAGATGGACGACGGAGAAGGGACGGCTCGGGGCGAGGAGGACTGTGGGAGATCCAAGACCCCTCGACCTCAGACCTGTCAGCTGTCCCAGCTTAGATTTGACTGTCCTGGGGCCCAGACATGGCCCCCAAGACATGGATGCAATGCTGCAAACGCCCCATCCATCTCGTCGTTGGCGAACGAGCCCAAGTAAGTCATCGTGCCCGAACTGTTCCCGAATGGATCCCGAATTGGAAACAAGGTTTCTCAACGCTCGTCTGGTGCAGCGTCGTTCTCGCGCCCGTGCTTCAGACCGCAAGAGCGGCATACCGCTAGAAGAAGCGATCAGCAACAACCCTATCGTTGAGAACGACACTGCAACCCTACACCACTCACAGCGCAGGTGCTGATCCAGACCGCACGCAAGCCGCACCACGCGAACACACATACTCTGAAGATCGCTACATCCACGGCGCGAGCAGCGCCAGGCTTCGCAACAACACACATGCGGGCACGCCCTGTCCGGGCCCGTGCGCCCACGAGTCTCGTCTTCGTTCAAGGCGCTGGAAAGACCCAGGACGTCTGGACCGTTTCCCGGGGACCGATTTTCATCCGAGGTAGTCTGGTGGACAGCCGCGGGGCGATCCCGTACAAAGGGCCCCCCGATGCTGAACAACTCGCCCCCGGGGCCTCCGTCGTGACGCTTTCGAGATGCGAGCGGGTCTGGGCTGAGACGAGGGGTCGCGTGCGCGCGCGGGGATGACCGAGTCTTCGTCCTGGCCTCCTCCGCTGATGATGATGAGCGCCCAAGCCTCGGCAGTCTAGTCGGGGAACGACGACACAATTGATTCACCCCAAACTCGATTTCCATGGCGAATCCGTGACACATGCGCGGAATATCCGTAGATCGACGAGCACTGTACGAATTCTGTATATCCGAAGATCCGACGTTGCAAGAAACCATGCAACATCGCAACAAATCACGACCGGACCCCCGGACCACATCTTCCTGCGTCATCTTTTGCGCCGGATAAACCGTGAGGGTCCCCTGGCCCCGAAGTGGAGCGAACCCCCCCGCCCTCTGGCTTCGCTTTTGCTCCTCCATCTTCACACCCCTGCTGAGAGTTAGAGGAGATTCTACGCTAAGGAAACTCCAAAAAATGGCGTCTCCATTTCTTCGAGCCGGGCGTTCTCACTCCATTCCAGGCCCTGGGACCCTCACAGATCGATCTGGCTCGAAAAATGACGCAGAAAGATGGGGTCTGGGGGTCCGGTTGTGATGTTCTGCGATGTTGCATTTGTTTTGCAACGTCGGATCTCAAGGAATGGGCATCACTCGAAACGTTTTCTTAAACAGTAAAGTGGAGGCCAGTCCACAAGAAACCTTCCACGAGAAACTAACCCTGGACCCCGGGGCGTCCACTGACTTTTGGTGTGGGCACGCCACGCTTTCCACAGCAAAGCCATCGAAACCCAAGAAGCCCAGGGCACCCTGGAGACAAGCACGGTGTTGCTTGGCATGGGTCTCCACTGTGGTCCAGGTCCAGGTATACGGAAATTCTTCGAACAAGAAGAAACTCCGAGGAAACGCCCATGTTCCATTCCAGAAACTTGAACTTCTCAAACGAATATTGGAGTCCTTGATGTCTGTTGAAAGTTGATGTTCCAAACAAAATCGCAATTCCACGGAAATTGAGGTTTGTTGCTTAAGATGCCTCATCCGTGTACCTTTCTCTCTGCTCCTCCTGTGGCTCCTCCTGGTGTCGCCCTTCCGTCGGTCTCCCTCGCCTCCGGGGACGCCCCTCGCGTGACGCCCACGCTTACGGCCCCCCCAGCTGTGCTCTGCTGCTGGCAAGAGGCGGGGCGGGGGGCGGAGGCGAGGGCGCCAGGGCCTGACCCAGAACCGTCCGCAGCGTCGTGGCTCCGAGGGGAAGGGGCAGGAAGGAGGAGGACGGGAGGGAGGAGGGAGGAGAAGTGGGAGCGGACAAGGGGGGGGGGAGAAGCACCCGCCCAGGGGGCATGGCGCCGAGAGTTGTTCTGGGGCCCGTGGAGGGCACGAGGTCTGGGCCCCTGGGGCGTGCGCGGCAGCATCGGGCCAACACCACCACAGGGCCAGAGGGCTCGGTGCGGGTCGGAGCAGGAGGGATGCAAACCCAGATCTCTGGTGCCCTGATCTGCAAGGGGCCCAGTGACACACAAACGAATACACAAAGATCCCAATATTCCCCATATTTCCTCATACGCGTTTGATGTTCGTCTTCCCCTTCCAAAGGGTTACCGAGAGGGTCCCAAGAGGGCCCCAAAAACTCCCAGAGAGCACCAGAAGCAGCAGCAACAACCGCAAGACTACCTCTTGATGGTTCCATGAGTCAGCGTCCGCGTCGTCTTCATCCTAATCTTCGTCCTCCTCGTCCTCGTCCTCATCCGCGTCCTCGTCCTCCTCGTCTCGTCGTACTCCTCGTCCTCCTCCTCCTCCTCCTCCTCCTCCTCCCCCTCCTCCTCCTCCTCCTCCTCCTCCTCATGTCCCTCCTCCTCCTCCTCCTCCTCCTCCTCCTCCTCCTCCTCCTCCTCATGCTCCCCTTCCCCTCGCCCCCACGTGGCACCCAAGGATGGTCCGAAGAGGCCTTCCAAGCCCACCCCCTTGCTCGCTTTGTTTCCCTTGATGTGTCTATTCGCCCTTTTTTCCGTGAGCTCTGAAGGGCAGGGTTTCTGAATGGGCTGGTGGGGATGCTTGTTGATCGCGAGCGCATCGGAGGTGCCGAACGACGTCCGAAAGTCGCAACAAACAAGCTACGGCCCAAATTGCGCACACGGAAGGGAGAAATAATGCTGGTGGGGATACATTTTCCGTCGCGGCCGCAGGCGAGCGCGCCAGCAGCGTCAAGAATCGGGCGGGCGACGCGCGAACCTAACCTGGTGGGGATACGTTTTTTAGTCAGCGGCCGCGGGCGAGCGCGCCGGCGGCGAGTCCAGTCAAAGCGGGGCACGCAACGACGAATTTACCTAAAGCATCGGAAGGCGGCCCCACTAAAGCGGCTAAACGGGGCCTCACGCAGCAACTCAGAGGCGGACTGGCGAGTGGATTGGCAGCTGAAACTGAGTCGTACTGCCAGCATGCAGGTACGCATGGCGTCGGAAGCGCCAGTTAGTCGGGAAAAACGACGACCAGGACGACCAGGGTCAGAAGCCGAGGGATTAATGCAAGGGCGCGAACCCCGGACAACTGCGTGAGTACCAGGGTGGCCGCAGCCAGGAGGACCGTCGGTCAAGGTCAAATTGATGCCGAAAAGGGCGAGAGCGTTGCAGGCTGCGAGAACCCAGGGTAGCCGAAGCCGCACAGTCCCACGGCCGCAGAACGCACGAGCACGAGAAGCAGCAAAGCTGCCGCGCAGCCAAAAAGGCGCGGGTCACCACGGACCAGTGCGTGAAGTGGCGCCAGGATAGGCGCTCACCACGGGCCCTGAAGAGAGGCGAGCCCGAAGTCAGCACACCGAAGGTGGCGACAGGCGAGCGACGGCACCACGGGGAAGACCCGGGACTGAGACTGGGGAAGCGACCGCAGCGTGGTAGGAGCACAAAAGTCAGAGCGGTGTCGTAGACGGCCGACGGCCCCGCGGAGGGGGAGAGAAACCGCGACTTGAGCGGAAAAGCGAAAGCCAGTACGGTGGGGGACGACACCACCGACCGACGGGGAGAGCGGAGGCCAAGCCGAGGGGGGGGGGGACACCCCGACCCGGCGGGCCGCCCGGCAGCGCGGGATATCACGCCCCGGGGGTGAAAACACCTACAGCGGGCCAGAGGCCGATAGCGGACTGGTGGACCACGTCCCCAGCGGTAGCCCACGAGTCAGTAATGTCAGCGTGCCACTGCTCAAGTTCCCAAGGACGGGGAGCAGTGGGGGCTGGGCAGGGAGAGGCACCGGGGAAGGAGCACTGCCTGCAAGTCAACCGGCGGCCACAGCAGGGGCTGCGGCGGACACGTCTAGGGTGAAACAAAGGGGGGGGGACAGGTGGACCACGGCCCCGGCGGAGACCCACGAGTCAGTGTGGTCAGCAGTCCGTTGTCCCTGTCCCGAGGGCCGGGAGCAACGGGGGCTGGGCAGGGAGTGGCACCAGGGAAGCAGCACTGCCTGCAAGTCGGACGTCGGCCACAGCGAATGCTGTGGGAGTCGCGTCTAGGGCGATACAAGCGGGGGCCGCCGTCGGGGGTCCCCGCCACAGCCCCTGAACATACACAGGTCGGGGGTCCAAACCAGGGATGGCGAGCGACCGCTGCGAGCTGTATGAGAGAGGCACCGAAACCTTTGGCCTAACGGGCCCCGTTTTAGGTGATAGCGATAATATAGAACAGCGTTCCTTCTTGGCCTAACGGGCCCTATTTTAATTGAAGAATCGAAGGCACAGCCACGGCGAGCCCGGCAGGCCTGAGATCTGCACATCTGGAGAGGATAGCTGCGGTCGGTTGCCCACTGGGGCGTTCGGTCGGCGTATGGTCAGGTGCGTCAGGGCAGGTTCGGCTGGGTAGCCAGCGGCGGAGCCAACACAGTGCCTTCGAAGCGCATGTGATCGCGATGCGGCGCGGCGGGACCCAGCGGGGCGCAGGGGGTGGGGCCTCATAACCATGTACGGGAGCGCTTGTCCCCTCTCCCGTCACAACTATCGTCACCGCAGCGCTTGCCTGCTGCCTGCCAATCGTCGCCGTCCCAGGCCTGCGACCATGACCATGAGTCCCAGACCCAGGGTTGGCGGGAGCTTGTGGCGCCAGCTGTCCGGGTCCCTCCGCGGCCGCTCTGCCTCTCGCCCCAGGGGGGGCCGTCGGCGTGCGCTGCACGGGCATGCGCGCAGTCACTCGGTCCACGCGGCCCGGCGACCGCGGGCCTCCCGACCCTTGACGCCCTGATCGGGACTTGCCAGAAGGGCCCCCTAGGCCAGGGTGGCCCCTCGGATTTCCACGGAGGCCCCCACGGCCCCCAGAGAGCACCCCTCACGAGGCCCCAGAGGGCCCCAGGGGCTCCAGCATTGAGCGAGAAGCTGGGGGGGCACCTGGGGCCAGGGGCACCTTTGGCAACCCCCAGCTCGAGGTCCTCGACCTGAGGTCCCCAGACCTCTCGACCACCTGCTGGGGACTGCTAACTCTGTCTGTCCCTGGTCTCTCTTTCTCTCTCTCTCTCTCTCTCTCTCTCTCTCTCTGAGGGCCACGAGGGGCCACGAGGCCCGAAGCGAGGCCTCCCGATGCCAAGTGGGGGCGAAACACCCTCCACCTCGATGCGTATCCACACACTGGAGGTCTGGGAGTCCTGCCACTGGATCGGAGGAGGAAGAGGTACCCATACCGCCGCCCGTCCCTCGTGCTCCCCACTCCGGGCCTCCCGGGAGGCCCTCGTCGCCACCGCTGGACTCGCCTCGAAGTCCTGGTCAGAACAGACGTCCAGGGAGTTGGGGCACGGGTACCGTTTGGTTGCCCCACTGGAGGTCTGGGAATCCTGCGCCCCCCCCGCCTCCCCGACCCTTGGGAGCCAGGTCTTCAAATTCAAGTAGTGCAGCGAGATCCTCCGCATGTCCAGCACCTATGGGCAGGGCGGTCCACGCGTCGCACCGTGAGATGTCGCATCCCGTCGTTGTCGTCGTCATCGTTCTACTCCTACAATCCTCTGCAGCTCTCTGCTCGATTCGGGGTTCCCGATAGAACAGCACAAGACGCCGTGGACATCAGATGTGGGGCGCGGCGATCTGTCATCACTGACGTCTTCGGCGCGGCAGTCAACGTGCCACAGCCTACGGCATTCAACGTGCCACAGCCTACGCCTAGCCTTACGCAACATTCCTGGGGTCTGTGGATGAGCCCGCAGGTGCAAGCACGGGGGAAGAGGTAAAGGAGACTGCGCCGCGTCGCCGACGTTGTCCTCAAAGCGGAAACAGTCTCAGCGCCCAATGCCTTCCTGGAAGCCGTGGTCCGACAATCAGTAGAGAATGCGCCTCTGGGCGCTGTCTAGGCGATGGCGGAGGACATCACTGATCTCCTCAGCAACGAGGAGGGTCGTCGAAGCCAGGCCGACCTTGTGCCGAGGCTTCGGGCGGGAAGCGAGACGGCAGCTGCCGCAAGCCAGCCTCTGGTCCTGAGCGGACCGTCATACAGCCAATCGACCCTCGGATCGGACGCTGCCCAAAAAATGACAACACCGGCAAACAATCACCACTTGATCCCCAGACCCCATTATTATACGTCCGTCTTCGAGCCGGATCGAGCTGTGAGGGTCCCGGGGCCCGAAATTGGACGAAAATCCCCCCAGAGATCCGATGCTGTGATTTTTTTCAATGGGCAGGACGGTTCTGTTTCTGGGAGTTTTGTTAAACTGTGCACGAATAATTCTGGCGCTGCAGTAGCCGTGCAGGCGGAGCGTCCTTCTGCACGACTCTTCTCTGAAGGCCCCCCCGCCGCGATCAGAATAGCGGCAGATATCATCAAACCTGCGACGCAAACGTGGACGAGGCGTGGACCCGGCCAAGTCCCCAGACCCCCGACGTCATGATTTTTTCATGGTCTGGACCCCTTCCCCGGGACCGGTTTTTCATCCCGAGTTGTCTTCTGACGTTCCCGAGGCCCAAAAGGGGCCCTTACAGAGGCCGAACATTGTGCAAAAAACCTCCCGCCGTGATTTTTTCATGGCTCGAGGGGGGTCTGGGCCGCCAAGGCGGGCGTCGGCCTGCCGCCGCCCCAGACCCCGCGGCCCGCACGGGGCACCAGAGCAGAGCGTCGCGGGGCCCTCGCCTCGGAGCGGTCTCGGATGACCTCCGACACGGCCCAAGAAGCAAACGGATTGCAAACAAACACGGGTGTGTGTTTCACACTTTCGCTCACAAAATCAGCGCTCCCCTCGAGGCGCCCCCCAAAAGTGCCTGCGAACGGAGCGGGCCCTGCAGGTCGAAAGGCACGTGCACACGCCAGCATTCGCCTGGGGAGGGGCGAGGGTCGGGTCGGGCAAAAGGGGGGGATAGCAAAGGGGGGGGTTGAGAATCAGCTCACGGAGCTGATTTTCCGGGCGCCTCCCGGCGCCGGGAGGCGCCCATGCATCGAGGAATGGGCCCCTCGGTGAGGCCGAGACCAGCTGCATGCAGCAGATTTCGTAACCCCCCCTTTCCCAATCCCCCCCTTTCGTCCGGCCCGAGAACGGAGCGGGCCCTGCAAGTCGAAAGGCACGTGCACACGCCAGCACTCGCCTGGGGAGGGGCGAGAGGGGGGAGGGCGGAGGGCGAATGAGGAGGAGGGAGGAGGGGGAGGAGAAGGAAGGAGGAGGAAGGAGGAGGAGGAGGAGGAGGAGGAGGAGGAGGAGGAGGAGGAGGAGGAGGAGGAGGGGGAGGGCGGAGGGCGAAGGCCCTGCAGAGGAGACCTGCCTGGGCCAGGAAGGGAACAAAAGCAAAGGCTCCGGCGAGCCCGCCCGTGGCCCTCGGCCCTGCGGCGCCCGGCCCCCCTCCTCCTCCTCCTCTCCTCCCCTCCCCCCTCCTCCTCCTCCTCCTCCTCCTCCTCCCCTCAAGCAACTTGGGCTCGAGCGGGTGAGGGGCCCCAGGAGGCCCACTTGCTCTCTTGAGTTCGTCCCTGGGCTTCCCAGTAGCGCTTGAGGGACTGTGCCTTTTCTGCGTGCCAGCCAAGAAGAGGCACCGACCAACACAGGGACAGAAGCAATGGCGGGCGGCCACCAGCACCAGCTGTGGACCAGATGCACGCAGTGCCAGACATGTGAATGGAATGGGGTTCTGGCCCGCCGCCACAACATCTGCAATGGATGTGGCAACGAGGTCAAGCCGTTCGAGAAGAAGAGGAGACAGAGGCGGGTGCAGTTCGTGGATGAGTACGGCGACAGCGACGCTGACGGCTTCTACGACGCCACCAGCGGCAGCGAGAGCGAGCGCCCGCAGCCACGGCGCCCAGGCATCCTGAAGGGCCCCGTGGGGAGCGGGCTCGGAGGCGGCAAGGGCGGCAAGGGGGGCAAGTCCGTGAAGAGCCTCCTGGAGCAGGCCCTTGCAGCAGCCACCGACCCCACGCTCAAGGTGGACCTCCAGGCGCAGCTGGACAAGCTCGCCAAGGAGGAGAGCGGGCGGGAGGCCGCCAAGACCACGCCCGCAGAGGCCCTGCGCAGGGCCGACGGGGCGTGGAGGAACGCGGAGCACCTCCACAGCCAGGCGGTCAGCAACGTCATTCGCCTCCGCAGCAACCTGGCAGCTGCGGAGGCGAAGGAGAGGACGGCGGCCATCCACTTGGCCGAGACCACCGAGGCCAAGCGAGCTGCAGCCACGGCATTGGCTAAGGCCGAGGGGGTCACCGAGGCCAAGCTCAGCTCCGATGGCGAGAAGAAGATCATCTCCCTCGAGTGGGACGACAGCTTCTTCACGAACCTGGCGGCGCTGGACGCCACGGACGCGGAGAAGAAGGCCCTTGAGGAGCTCCGAGGCCAACTGCAGGGCGCCAAGGAGACTCTCACGGGCAAGGAGGCTGAGATCCAGAAGTGGTTGGAGGCCATGCAGCAGCATAGGCGCACCATCGAGGAGCGGGCGAAGAAGAAGAGACGTGCACCTGCTGACGGCGCTCCTGAGGAGGCGGCCACGGCGGACGACGGCGGGGGCCAGGGGGCACCTTCTGCCGCGGCGGCATCGGCGGCAGGGAACTCCACAGGCGGCGGCGGCGGGGCGGCGGCGGCAGCTGACCCTTCAGACGCCGTCAAGGCGGAGGCGGAGAGGCTGTCTGCGGCCAAGTTCCTAGCGCAGCAGACGGTGACGAAGGCGAAGGGCAAGGGCACCGCCAGTGGTGACGCTGCTGGGGCGCCTGCAGCTCCCTCAGCTTGACGGTGTCGAACGGGGACCCCTCGGACCCACAAGACCGAGGGGGCGGGCAGTGACGAGGGGGAATGCACTAGGCTATTCTATTCGAACGTCACATGCCTAACGGACAAGGTATGGAAGTACGTGCAGGAGCACGTGGGAGCCTACGACCACTGGGTCATGACAGAGACCCACATCCATCGCGAGTCGGACGTCAAGAAGTGGACAAAGGCAAGCCGAGCTCTCAACCTCCGCATGATCATGAATTCGGCTCGCCGCACCTCGAAGGTAGTGTCCAAGGCCAAGGAGGCACACTCGAATGAGGGAGGTGAGATGGTTTTGTCCCGCAGACACTTACAGATCCAGCAGCTGCCCGAGGCGAGGGCGGCTGCCAAGTACCTCAAGGCGCCGAAGCAGTCGGCGTACGACGGATGCTGCCCAGTGATACTGCAGCAGCACAGCTACGCGATCGTGGTGGTCGCCCTGTACGCGCTGCCGTCCATCAAGATGACGGGCAGGAACATCGAGAGATTCAACCGACTTGGAGGGCTACTCCGCTCACTCCGAGTCCCGTGGCTGATCATCGGCGACTTCAACATGACGCCAGACGAGCTCATGCGCACGGCCTTCCACAGAGTGACGGGAGGCCATGTGCGAGTACCAGCTGGAGTTGAGGGCACTTGTGCCCAGAAAAAAGGACCTGACACAATGATTGACTTTGTTTATATGAGCGCTGCCGCGTCCTCATTCATCCAGAGTCTGGAAGTAGTCAGAAGTGTCTCGTGGAAGCCTCATCTCGGGCTAGCCTTGAGCCTACGAGCTTCAGGCCAGACCCTTAGGACGCGTGAGATTTCGTTGCCCCCGAAGTTGCCCCAACTCCCGAGGCCTCGGTGTGAGCCCACTCCTGGATCTAAGTCCAGCCAGGCCAGGTCCGCTGCGGCTGTTAGACGCCAGGAAGCTCACGCCAAGAGGGTCGAGGGGTTCCAGGAGGCCTTCGGGGATGTTTTGGAGCCTCCCGCGCAAATAGGGACTGCGTGTCCCCAGGTGATCGAGGAGGCCGATCAGGACCCTGATCTGGACCACGATTTTTCTGCCTTCCCAGAGGATGAGGAGGACCCCTGGGCCCACGAATGTAATTTTTGTTCTGACTCGCACCTAGGTGGCGAGCTGTCGTCTGATGGATCGGGCGCGGTCGGCGCATCGGCCGTCGGGGACAAAAAGCCCGATGCAGTCAATGTGAGTGTCAGTGTCAATTCGTCGGTATGCGAGGCCCAACCCCTTCCCCCCTCGGCGGTTTCAAGTAACCCCGTAGTTAGCAGCAAAGTTGGTAATAGTAGTGCTCAGTTGCATCGCCCCGACCCCCCCCAGCAGGTTGCTCCCTCGTGCCCCGTGGTCGAAGATGTGCCCGACCCTCCGTTTGAAATTACAGCGTCCACGTGGGCCGAGGCTCGACTGCAGGTGGGCTTTCGGTCGGGAGCGGATGCCGTGGCGAGTCTCTCCCCTTTCCTTTCCTCCTCCGTAGCCTTTTCGCTCGAACCTGCTCGCGGGAAGCTCCTCACGGGGCAGTGCGCGACCTGGGTTACGGCGGTCGAGCAGGCTTTCCATACTCACCATCATGTCAGGCCCCCTGCTGGGCCCACGCGCGCCGTGGGGCCCAGGATCCACGAGAAGCCCATGAGGGTCACGGCTCACGTGCGGGAGCTCGCCCTTCATGATCAACGTAGCCAGTGGTGGACTCGCGTCCACACGGTGC